GGCAAAGTGGAGTCAATGCCACCAGTCTGCAGGCCCACAGTCGCCTCCTCGCCCCCACTTCCTGCATATGAGGAAATTGAGGACAGTAGGAAGAGCTACCCAAGGGTGCTGGCGACCCCCACACTTAAAGTGCCCTAAACCACAGTGGGGGCTGGGGTTCTTCTGTAAGGCTGGTAGGCTTTAAAATAAGGAAGTGTCTGGGGTCACGGGGAGGGGGTCCCAGAGCCAGCCACCCCTTCCCACCAGATGCCTACATGGGAGCCTGACAGTGCTGCCCCATTTCTCTGCCCCAGTCAGCCCTCAGCTCTGGGAAGACACCTGAGGATCAGCTTCTGGGGTTGGAGCCAGGTTGGTGTTGGGTGAGGTGGGAGCATAGGTTCAGGACTCTGTCCCTAGGCACCTCCTCCACACCCACACACACACTAAGCTCAACCAGAGCAGCACAGGTGTCATAAGGAGGGGGTGGAGAGAGATGGTGACAGAGGGAGGAGAGAGAAGGGTGGGAAGAACACTCCCGCCTAGGAGGCAAGAGCCCTGGCCTTACCCTCTAGCCTTCATGGCACTTTTAGCCTGATGTCATATTGGGAGCCTCCACCCACCAGGATGTCAGGGCCAAAAGGGCAGGGATGTGACTTGTCCCTGCACAAAGCAGGTGCTCAACAGTGATTGAAGGATGGGCCCATCTGGACAATGGATGAGCTGAGCTGGGCCATCTCATGTCGGTCAGGCTTCCCAGAGCCCAGGGTATTCTGCACCCCCACCAGGTGGGTCCAGCCTCCCAGGGGCCACCTCTGTCGAGCCTGACCAGACCTGAAGCCCAATGGGTGGGTAGGCGGGGCCACTCTCTGTCCCAAGGCAGTGAGAGGCTGGGTGGGCAGTTGGCAGTGCCAGGCTGTGGCCCGCCCCAGGCAGATGTGTGTTCTAGCTGAAGGGGGACCTTTTATGCTCGCCCTGGGAAGATGTCAGTCTGGGCAGGCTGCCAGAGCCCTGGGGCTTGCTGCTGAGAGCGGGGAGGTGGACCATGGGCCAGCCTGAGGACTTAACCACATGGCAGTGGGTGAGGCAGACCAGCAACTGCTCCCCAGGGACCTGGCTTGGACTTAGGGAGTCCCAGCCTCTCTCTAAGCCTTGGAGGCCTTGTCCCCAAGTCCTGAGTACTCCTCCCCAACCCACAGGCTCCATCCTGGGTCAGGATTAGCCTCCCCCATCTCTCCCACCAACTCACCGCTTGCCAGGTCAGAGTATTCTTTGCACTGAATGCACTCATCCATTCATTCCAACAATACTTGCTAAGCACCTGACCAGAAGTGAACCTAATGGGCCACCCCAACCTGGTGAGGCTAACAGTTGGGCAGAGAGATAACCAACACCACACACATTACGTTTAAGAGATATATTGTTTGTTAGAAGGTGGTTAAGTGCTACACAACCATTAAAAGACAGGAAAGGGATGAGGAAGGTACAGGCATGATGTCCAGAGGCTTCGCAGAGGTGACGTCTGAGCAAAGACCTAAAGGAGGGGAGGGACAGTGTCATGTGATCATCTGTGGGCAGTGTCCGGCAGACAGCACAGCCTATGCAAAGGTCTTGAGGCAGGATGGGTGCCTGGCTTGTGTGAGAAGGCATACTGAGGACCCAGGGGTAGGTGCAGATATGACATCCAGAGATGGCTGTGGGACTAAACGTGTGGACAGGTATAAAACACTGTCACTTCACAATGGTCTGCTGCCTCAAACTGCTTACTCCCCACTGCCTCTGAAAGAAAACCAGCCTCCCTGCCATGCTGTTTGCCCCCTTCCTCACCATCATGGGACTGTGGACCTCCAACAGGCCTCATAGTTTGGGGGCCAGTTTCAAGAGCTGCTTGGAAAATCCACTGCAGACTTAAGAAATACTGAATCTGATCAGTGTGCATGACAGGACTGGAACTCTACATTTACCTTTGGCTTAGGAAGGGACACGGTGCTGTGTCCCATGTCTGAGCTGCACACACAAACGCCATTGTGCAGGGTGAGGCCAAGTGGCCAGTGACCTTAGGCAGCATCCCTCCTCCAAGCCTGTTTGCAACATGTTGTGCTGACCCAGGACTCCTGGGTTTCCATTCCCTGCTGAGCTTACTCAGTGGGGGAGGGAGGGACCCTTTGATGGGGCACCGAGTGGTGGTGGGGGACTAGTCTGAGGCTGCCCCCCCACCTCTGGCCCTTTCTGGTTCAACTCTGCCCTCTGCTGCCAGACAGGGCTCCCAAACCTCTTGCTGCTAACCACTGTGGGACCTTGGGGTGCCCCTAAGGTGCTCTTAGGGTCACAGCACCAGACGGGGACACAATGTCGGGGCTTGGGGAGGGCCCACCCAGAGAGGCAGTTGGGGCGTTTCCAAGCTGTCCCGGGAATAGGCCATTGTTTGTCCGACAGTACCTTTGCCTGGGTGGGCTGGGACTCTGAGACCCTCAGACCCCAGTTCCTGAATCCTCCAAGCACATGCCAAAGATGATCTCATGAATCCTGAGACTTAGCTGCTGTAACTTCTCCATCCCACCCCTGAGGAAACTGAGGTAGGTCTCAGGAGGCTGTCACCAAGAACACACCCTATGGCACTGGGCTGCATCCAGTGCTTGCTGGATGGACTGAAGTGTGGATAAGATTTCTTAGTGGGGACGGACAAAACTGCCACCCAGTGGTCACTTTTGTAATCAGGTTTATGTACAAAAGGACTGGACCGTGACCCACGCAGGGCAAGCAGTGTCCCTTCCTGGGGGAAGGGTGTTTTGGGTAAACCTGCTAGGGAGGCGGAGCCCACTTGCCTGTCCACACCATATATCCCATCTGCTGCCCTGTGCTCTAGGAAGTGGCCCCCTACCCCAGGTGCTATCCCACACTTTCCGTCTGGATGAGGAACCCAGTGCAGCCACCCAGCCAGCCCCAAGCATGCAAACATCCACCCGCTGTGACCAGAAGACCACGCCAAGCATCCCCAGTGAGGGGCCAGCCTCGTTCTCACCTCCTCCTCACAGGTTTGGTTCTTCCCATTGGACCCAGGGCCTATCCAAACAACCCCAGCCCAGGCACACCACTGGTGCCCAATCAGTGCTGGTGCATGAATGAGCAGGTACATGCATCTTCCAGGCCACTGAAAAATTTCATTGGTGGGTGTCCATGGACCCCAGGGCCCAGGTGTGTACAGCTACAAGGCACACAGGCCTAGGCCTAAACCAGGGACTCTGTCAGCTGGCTTCACAGCCCAAATCCCACTCGGTGGTGTGCATATGGCACCCTCTGGTGGAGGCTGGAGGGAAGGATGGCTGGGCGCTGTCCAGGCCCTCTGAAACAGCAGGTGACCTCCACTCCTCCCTGCCTTTACCCTTCATCTTGGGAACAAAGCTCCTGGCCCAAGTGTCAGCCCCGCTCACCCTACACCCCAACATCACTTGGGGCCTCAGCACCATTTGGCACTCAGCCCCACTGGCTGACCGCCCCCAAGCTCTCCTGGTAAGAACCAGGCCCAGCACAGACATGAGCCAGGAGAGGACAAGGTGGGTCAGCCTTTATTGGTGAGCAGGCAAGCAAGTTGGGGGTTCCCATGGGAGTCAGAATGCTGTGGACAGGAAGAAGCCTCAGGCCCAGCTAGGGAGGGCATTTCTGAAGTCGCCATGGGCAGATAGGAAAAAAGCTGTCACAGAAACTCCCGCTGCGATGGTCAACCAGACCACCCCTCAGTGTGGGGGCGGCCATGTGGGCAGGACTGTCTCATGTCACACAGACCTGCGGTCATATGACAGCACTGGCTTTAGATAGGCTGGAAGCTGAAGCCATGGCAGGAACCTTGGAAAAATGCAGTCTACCCTCCACAGTCCCCCAGTGTGATGGACGAGGAGGCTAAATGCCCAGGGGATGGGTCGGGAGGCCAGCAAGGGGACAGGCAGGGGCCAGCAGGTGACACACACAGAACCTCGCGTCTAGCCAAGGTGCTCTTCAAAAGAAAAAACAAAATTCTAAGGAATGGAACTCCATAGAGAAAACCCTAGCTTAGTTCTTTTAAAAAGGTATGATTTGAATCCAGTGTGGTGCACTCTTGCTGGGCGGGTTTGCTCTAGGACAGTACTGGGAATAGTACAAATGCGCCAGCAGGGAGGGTAGGGCGGAGACCTCAGCCCGAAGCTGCCCTCACCTGGCATGTGCCCTCACCTCAGGAATGCGAGGGCGCTCAGCTGGCATTCCTCTGGCGGACATTCTTGCCTTTGTCATTCACGTGGTGCCCACTGCTCTTCCTGGGAACAGGATGGGAGCTTTTCAGCGCTCAAGAGGGCAAAGCAGCCGCCCTTTGCCCACCAAGGTTGTCCCGCCCTCCCCCCCACCTCCAACATTAGGGATGGATGGAATCCTCCAAGCCCAGCCCAGGACCCCAACCCCCAGCAAAGCCAGCACTCACAGGGGAGCAGAGCCGGTGTCCTCATCTATGCAGACACGCAGCCACATGCAAGAGAAGAACAGGCATCAGGGTGGTTCCTGTCCTGTTGGGCCTCGCCCTCAGTGTCTAAGACTGGACATATGGGACGCCAGTCCCGCTCCTGGGACATGTACCCCGAAACAAACCCCCACCTGCCTGGGCAGCCCTGGTTCCCTCAGCTCCACCAGGCAGTCACAGCTCACTTGTGCACAGCCTAGGGGCCCCAAGCAACTGAGGGCAGGCGCTCACAGGGGTTACCCGCAAGGCTATGCGGGCAGGCACACTCTCAGCTAAGGGGCAGGCCCTCAACGACAAAGTGCCCTCTTCTGTCCTGCACTCCTGGATGGTGCCAGGACCCCCGGGTCCCCCAGCACATAGGGAACAAAGGTCACTGGGCCAGCTCACCATCCAGGACCTCGTCTGGCTTCCGCCGCTTCTCGTAAATGAAGATGATGGTAACCAGCACAAGCACCTCTGCCACGATGCCCAGGAAGGGCCAGAGGGCGGCAAGGTGGCTGCGCACACGTAGTGTGATGAACGCCTGCTCGGTGCCCTCTGCACTGGTGCCATTGCAGACATACTGGCCAGAGTCCAGTTTCAGGTCCAGGTCCCGGATGTGCAGTTCTGTCTTCGTCTCCATGGACACCACGAATACCTTGTTCTGGGAGTTGTTGGTGAGGACCTAGGGGCAGGCAGACCTTGTAGGACACCAAAGCCCAGGCCCGTGTCCCCCCAGGCAGGCCGGGCCCTCACCTGGTCCCCGGCACCACTAATCTTGTACCACACCCAGTTGGTGACCGGGGGGAAGGATGCCGACTTGCAGATCAGCACAACCTCCTCCCCCTCAGTGGCTTGCTCTGACTTCTTCACAGCATTCACCTTGGGAGGCCCTAGTGGGGAGCAGAGCACAGGAGTCTGAGGCTTGTGGCCTGGAGCAGCCCACCCTCCCTCAGTGTATGGACTCGTGATGCCCAGTTGTGGACGAGTTGCTCCGGGGTCACACGGCTTACCCGCCACGTTCACGCTGGTCCTGCCCACAGGCTCCGGGAGGAACACACAGAAGTACTGTCCCGCACGCTCATCTATGTCCACCCTGCAAGCAAATGCAGCTGTGAGCCAACCTGCTGCAAGCTGCAGGTGACCCTGGAGGATCATAGCAAAGATGGGGTGGTCATGGTCAAAAGACCCTGCAGGAAAAGGGCTGAGGTGTGGGGATAGCAGCTGGGCTTGGCCCGCCTCCTGACGCGGCGCCTGCATCCATGAGCTCCTGTGCGCAGCATCCCCCAAACAGGAGGGCTGTGTTTCCAATTAGGGCCCCAACTTGCACAAGGCTTCAGTGTGTGTGGCCTTGAGTGCTAGGGACATGGGACTCCAGGCTGGGGCCGTGTTGTAAACCCTTCCCCGCCAGCTCCCCAAGGAAGGAAGCCGGCTGTGATGTCTGGCAGCTCCTGGATCCTCTCTGGTTCCTGGGCTTCTCATTACCCAGGGGACTGAGCAGACTTTGTGTCTAATATCTGGCCCAAGCGAGCCCATCGACTTTGTTCCCACTGACCAGAGGCATCAGCAGCTAAAAGATGTCAGAGTGAGCAGTGGGGGCAGGAGCCAGGGTGAACCACTCCCAAAAACCAGGCGCCACCCTCTTCTGCCAGGACCAGAGGGAAAAGGGGCCCGGGTCCCTCCGTGAGCCTCACGCACTCATACTCCATCTTCAGATCTGACAGCTTGTCCTCGTGCAACACCTTGTCCCCCTTCATCCAGCGGTGGCCAAGGATCTCAGTGTTGCTGTCATTCAAGGTGCAGGTGAGGTGTGTTTTGGAGCCAACATCAACTATGGAAGTAGAGATCCTGCTCTCTGGGTGGCCAAACGACAGATTAGCAAGGCGATCGAGGAAGAAGGACAGAGCCCACAACTCCTTGCCGCCAGCCTACTTGTCCCCACGGCATACCCCAGTGGCTCCTCCACAGCCACAGATTCTTTCTGGCAGAGAAGCCCAGCCCTGTTAACAAGTCTGGAACTGCACTGGCTCATTCACTCAGGACACTTCCCACAGAGTTAATGGGGCCTCAAGGTAGATATTGTGGGGAGGCGTGTTAACTGGCCTCAGGCAGGGGAACAGAGGCCAATGCCCACCCGGGGTTCTGACTCCTGGGCCCAGTCCTAGCACAGACCCGAAATTACTTTTTAAAAAATAAATCTATCACTGCCCAGGCCACCACTCCTCCACTAGACAGTCTTGAACATTCTCTCTCTCTGTCCTTCACCAAAGCGGTGGGCACAGTGTGCTTGGCTCCCAGGCAGGGCAGCACAGGTGATGGCAGGGCCAGGGGAATCCAGCTGCCCCCATCCTGGAACGAACCTTCTTCCCAGAAGGTCAAGAGCTCCCACAGCCTACTCGCACTTGCCACAAAGCCATCGTACAGAAGACAATCTGTTGTCCTGCCCAGGACACTGAGGGTGGGCTCTCAGTGGCCAAAGTCCCCTCCACTCATTTCCAATTAGGTAAATGTCCCCGTTGCTGTAGGACATTCTCTTGAGAAGTCAAAATCAGCTAGAACCAGAGGGTGAGAAGCTCGTGAGACTGGGCAACACCTGGGAGGGCTCCTCTCCAGGGATCAGGGACCAGGGACAGGCCCTAGGCCTTCCATGTTCAGGAGGGAGCTGGGCAGGTGCTTGAAGGACCAGGGGTTGAGAGTGAGGGGAGGGAGCCCACTTGTGTCCAGGGCTGGGGCAGTGTCATGGGGACACACCCAGGCACCATGGGGCTGCCCCCACTAGCCCCACCTGCCTCCTTTGGGAAGGCTCCAGGCACTGCAGCTAAGCTTTACTCAAAAGTGTCTGTTTCTCTGAAATGGTCACCCACGTCCAGGGGCCCCAAAGTTGCCCCTTCTAAAGGCTGCGCCCACAGGATTGGCCATGAAGAGGTCCAGTCAGGGCTGCTTGCAATAAGTTTCCCTTTCTTTTCGTTTGTGGCACAAAGTTAAGTGAAAAAAGCAAAATATAAAACTATATTTGAATAACTTCGTCTGAGAAAAACAACCACAAGAAGCCTGGCAGGTTGACGGTCACCAGGACCCCTGCCTCCCTGAGGTCATGGTGATTTCTGACAGCATAACTGAAACCGCACAACATACATGAAACTGGGCAGAATGATCAGAGGTCGCGACCCCTGACTGGACAGTCATCTTAGTGGCCTGGACTCGGCACCAGTGTAAACTGATTCTGTGGGCAGCACACTTCTGGCTCACATAACACCCCAACTCAGAAGTAAAGGACAAGAAGGGGTGCGTCCACTGGCTGCCATACTGGGATCTCACAATGTGAGCAGAGCTCGCTTGGCCTCCCTCGTCTACACACAGTGTGCACACAGAGACTGGTGAGTCGTTAAGACTACTCCCTCCCCCTCCAAAAAAAGAAAACTAATCCTCAAAAAGAGCAGCAGGAACCCTTTACCCAAGAGACATCACAGCCAGGCTGTTTTCTGGAATGATCCATGGGCACAATATGCTGTCTCCTCCTCAGGCAGAGATTGGTGTGGTCCCAGCCCCTCACCAGGTCCCAGGGCAACAGGCAGGGCCTGGAATGTGGTGCTCGGTGGGCTTACAGTGCCCGCACAGTGCCACTGCAGACTGACACCCGCAGACCCAGCTCCCCAGCTGCGTGTCTAGTCTGGGGGGGATGGTGGCCAGCCCATGGACAAGACCCATGCACAGCCAGGCGGGGCCCCTTCCTGAGCAGGCCAATTTTCACTGCTCCACTGCCAACCACCTGCTGGCTCTTTCTTTAAAAGAGGACATGATGTGTCAGAACTCCAGGCAAGCAGGGGATGAAGCAGAAAGCTCGACCACGGCCAGCCAGGAAAGGCAAGGAGGCAGCTGGGGCTGGGCACCCACCTGCTCCCGGGCATGTACACACTCACGCCACGGCATGTGTGCACGTGGGCAGTAGGGGCACACGCAGACATGTACCCACAGAACGCACATGGGCATGCACACACTCATGGCTTTCGCCATGACCCTGGGCCTCAGGCTGTCTGCTCTGGGGTGAGGTGGCCCTAAGGCCCTGAGACAGGAGGACCTTCATGTCCCCCCACCTGGGATGACCCAAAGGCAATTCACAGGACTCAGGACAGGAACAGTTAAAACCAGACAAGGGTGTGAAGCTGGAAACTTCTGTGGCAGTGCCATTGTCACAAAAGGATCACCTCCTGGTAATCCACACTTCTCAGGAGTCAAAACTACCCAAGATTGCAAAACACACAGCTATGTGCAGAGCTGGGAGCAGTGAGTCAGGAGCTGAAGCGAGGCCAAGGCAGGCCTCCTGCCAGATAGGCCTGCTCTCTACCCTAAAGCCTCAGACCCCTGCCTTGGGTGTGGTAACAGAGGAGGCCGGGGAGCCAGTCTAAAGCCCCTCTGGCCCACACCTCTGCCCTGGCCTGAAGGGCACAGCAGGGGACCAAGCCAGGTCCCACCTGGGCCACATGACAGAGCCGTGAGGTGGCCACCAAGCAGCCACCTCTCTTAAGTACCCTCAACAGGGCCACATCACTCCCAGGGGTGTGTGTGTGGGGTGTCTTAAGACATTTCAGTGGTTGTGACCTTACTCAGGGTTACGCAAAGAGACATCTGTGGTATAAGTGATGCTAACATCTGTGATATTAAAACAATACTGGGACACAACCATTAAAAACAGGTCTCAGAGGGCTCTTTGGGAGGAGATCCATGCTGGAGAAAGTTTGAAAAGCACGTCCTCTGGCAACCCCTGGCCAAACCCAGTGCCCAGGAGATGGTGGGGAGCACCCCCAATCCACCGGGAGTGGAAAGTAAAAACTGCATTCTGGCTCTGTGGCTATAACCCATGCTCTCAAGTAAAGTCACCTTCATCTAAAAACAGCCACCCCTGCTCAGTGCCACTCGGCAACCAGGCTGGGGAGCAGGGCAGGCAGGCCTTGTGGTGAACAGCTCAGGAGCTCTCAGGATGAGGCCGCAGGCACCCACTCTCCTCCCCACCCATAGCAACATTGCAGACCTCAGACAGGAGCCAAGAGCATTTCTGGGGACCAGCCGTGGGCTCCTCAATTCGACACCCTTCCCTCCATCCCACCAGGAAGCAGTTCCGAGAGCCAAGTCATCAGCCCATGGGACCCAGATGGCAAGCCCATGCCATCCCAACCTGCCTGCCAGAATGATAGGATTCTGGGCAATCCTAGAGATAGCCAGGGTCTCCTGGCAGAGCACCCAAAGCATTCCTGGGGCTCTGACCTGGCCAGGATATGCAAACATTGTCACTAAGTCACTCCTCCCAGGTAGAAAAGGAATGTGTGGTAACATCCTCTGAAAAACTTTCGGATCTCTTTAAGAGTCCCTGGGAAAGAGGGAGCTGTCCAAAGTGAAAAAGGAGAACAAAACAGACAAGAGTTCCAGGGGGTCAAAGGGCAAAGTGAGCCCCAGGCAGGGAGCAAGCAAGAATAGCCCTAAACCTGCATCAGCACAGACACTCCTGGCTTCCTGGCTGGGGATCTGAGAAGAACACACTGGGGGACTGTGCTCCACAGCAGAGGAAGACTGTGGGCCCTTCACCCCCTTGGCTGTCTCCAGCCACGAGGGCTCAAGCTGCTTATCTTACAAATTCACTTTGCCTACAGGGTCCTATCTAAGTCTTTCCAGAGAGGGCTGGTGGGCAGACAGGTTGTCCAGAGGCATTTGATAAATGGCTGTTTTGATTATAAGAGGAAAGAGGCGAATTGAGATCTTAAAGTAGGTCAGGAGTAATCCGGTTAAGCTTCTACAAGAAGCAACCCAGCCTCTCCAGGGCTCAGAGCCCCAAACCCTTCTGGTCTGCACTTTGCTCCCTACATGTGTCGGTCACTACAAATTGTTAACCCAGAACCAGAAAGAAAGTTTTGACAGGGAAAGAAAATGTCTATCAGGCTTTCTTCTGGAAAACTGCACCTTAATCCATTTTCCCAGGAGCATTCTCTAAACCACACCTGCCCACCCTCAAAACACTGCCCACTCCTCATAACAGCTCTAAAAACTGAATGCTGTTTGAGAGTGTAAAAACAACCCTTTCCACTTCCTCCTCTGAACTGCCAGGGTGACCTCACAGTGACCTTGGAACATCCCCCGCCTCACGTCCGGAGCCTCAGTTTCCACCTCTGTAAAAGGGGGCTGGTGGACTAGACCCCTTTCATCTGTGCCCAGAAATCAGACAAAACCTAATGCAACAAAGCATGTTGGCCTCCCTATAAGGGTTTAAAAGTTTGGGTGAACACCGGGAGCAGATGAATACCCAGAGCGCGACTCGGGACCTAAATTCCAGCAAGAATGACAATCCCTGCCAGTTCGACGGCCGCCTGCTTCATAGACGCTCACGTGCATTTGCTTCCAGCGTCCACTTGAGGACAACAGGACGCTTTCCAGATAAGAGCCACGCGCCCCAGGGGGTCCGAAAGGCCCTTCTCACCCCTTGCGCCAGCACACCCGGGCCGGGAAACCCCACCCTCAAGTTGCCTCCCCAGACCCTTGGGCCCTCGTCCGAAGGGGACGACCCAAGACCCAGCCGCGTCGTCCCTTCCCCTTGGGGCGTGGGGGTGCGGGGCGCCTCCAGATCCCCTCCCCACACCAGCTCCCAGACCCCGCCTTCTCTCGGGCCGCCGAAAATCTGGGACGTCAACTCCAGTTGTCGCCCTGGTTGGATCCCCGATCCCCCAAGCCGGGGCTTCCCGCACACACCATCTCGGCGGGGAGTCCTCCGGGCGCCCCAAAACCCGGGGAAGTGTCGCCCCCGGAGCTCCCGTGTTCCCCTAGGAGGACGGGGCTTCACCTCCACCCCCGCCCGGCTGGACCCCCGAAGCTGAACCCGCGGCCCCCGCCAGCCCGGTTCTTACCCGCCCCGGAGCCTCTGTCGGCATTCAGCAGCGCAAGCCCCAGGACCACAAATAGCGCCTTCGCCATGTCGCTGCCTTGCCCGCCGCCAACCGCCGCCCGCGGCGCTATAAGAATCCAGGAGGCGGCCCGGGCACGCGCACGCAGGGCGTGTCGCAGGGGCGGGGCGCGCGCGCAGGACACGCAGGCCGCCGCCTGCGCACGGGCACAGATGCACGTACGCACGCGCTGGCCTTGGCAGGCTCACTCTACTTAAGCCTGGAAGGCGGTGCACGTGACTCCGGCGCGCCACGCCCTGCGGCCTAGGAGCGTGGCTACGTTGCTAGAAAATGGGGGCGGGGCCTTCATTTTTTCAGAGAGTGTTGGAAATCGAGCTGTACGCTCAAAAGTGGTTAAAGTGCTCAATTTTTATTATGTGTATTTTACCACAACAATAAAACGTTAAGGGAGGACATCGAAATCCTTGTGAATAGGTGGCATATGTCCCCTAGGGGGACAGGAGCTGCCAGGTTTAGCAAATAAAAATACCTGGACCACAGTTAAATTTGAATTTTAGATAGAGAACGAGTAATTTATTAGTGTAACTATCCCGTGCAATATGTGGACATAGAGATGCAAGAAAAATATTCGTTATTTATCTGATTGTTGCTGTTTATCTGAAATTCAAGCGTAGGTGGCAGTCCTGTGTTTTGTCTGGAAAACCTACCCTGAGGTCCCCATATTTTATAACAAATACTTTTTAAAATGATAAACTAATTTAAAACAAAAATAGGGTAATGTAATCTTCGTGACCTTGGATTAAGCAATGATTTCTTAAATATGACACTAAAAGCACACACAATGAAAAAAAATAAATGAGACTTCATCAAAATTAAAACCTTTTGTGCTTTAAAGAACAAGAGAGCTAACTGAGTGGCTCAGTTGGTTAAGAGTTGGCTTAAGGGCCAGCCGAGTGGTGTGTTGGTTAAGAGCTGGCTTGGAACAACAGAGGGCCCCGGTTTGGATCCCACGTTTGAGGGCCAGTGACACTGTCCTCTACAGCTAAGATGCTGAACAACAGCTCAACCTGGAGCTGGGCTGCCTGCCATGAGTCGCTTGCGATGGAGCCAGCGTGAGCGGCCGTCCAGAAGCCGGCAACTGATCTGCCTCGCCCGGGAAGAGCGCAATGATGGTGCCCAACTTGGGCCAGTGAAGCAACGTCCTCCACAACTAGACTGAAGAACAAAAGGACAGCAACTTGTTTGTTCCCCTTCCCCCAATTCCCCAGCGCTATTCCCATCCCCCAATTCCCCAATAAAAATCTTAAAAAAAAAAAAAAGAGTTGGCTTAAGAGTGCAAGCTCTGAGCACCAGGGCCGCCGGTTCGATTCTCACAGTGATGCTGTGCTTGAGCTGAGCTGCTGCTGAGTTGCCAACAGGTGGCAGGATAGCTCAGCTGGTGTAACAACAAGATTGCCTGTTTGATGGTGGGCTATGCCCACCTGCAACTAAGACTGAACTCGGCACCTTGAGCTGAGATGCTACCCAGTGGACAGAGCGTGCGCTCTTAACAACAAGGCTGCTGGTTCGACTCCCGCATGGGATGGTGGCTACACCTACCCGCAACTAAGATTGAACACAGCACCTTGAGCTTAGAGGCCACAAGCTGCCGATGGGCAGCCAGATGGTGACTGATGCCCACCACAACGAAGATCGAAGAACAACAACTTGGCTGGTCCCCTTCCCCAATCCCCCAACACTGTTCCCCTCCCCCAATTCCCCAAGAAAAATCTTTTTTAAAAAAAGAACAACAAGAAAGTGAAAAGATAACCCACAGAATGGGAGAAAATATTAGCTAATCATGTATCTGATAAGGAACTTACATTTAAGATATATAAAGAACACTTAACAGAATTTTTTTAAAAGATAATAACCCAATTAAAAAATGGACAAAGGGTCTGAATGCACTTTTCTCCAAAGATATGCAAGTGGACAATAAGCACATGAAAAGGTGCTCAACATCATGAGCTATCAAGGAAATGCAAATCAAAACCACAGTGAGACACCTCTTCACAGCCACTACAATGGCTGTAATAAAAAGGCTGACAATAGCAAGTGTTGAAGGTGAAGAAGCTGGAACCCTTGTGCACTGCTGGTGGGAATGTGAAATGGTGCAGCCACTGTGGAAAACACCCCAGCAGTTACACACTGAGTTAACATCTGGCCCAGCAGTTCCACTTCTAGGTATATGCCCACGAGAACTGAAAACTCACAGCCACACAGAAACTTGTGTCAACCGAAGGAATACCCAATTTGGGGTACAGTGAAGGGGGAAGATTTTATTTGTGTGGCTCAGGGAACATGGTTCAGGCATCACAGCCCCAATCAGGTAAGCACAATATTAAATGGAAACTGAGAATGTGCTCCACAAAGATGGCAGGGAGGCAGACTAATATAGAGAGAAGTTCCCACACCTGTTCCCTGATTGGACCACTTCTATGCAAATGAGGACTCCAAATCATCACAGTTTGCTTAGTCTGAATAAGACCGCCCTGATTAGTCAAAGTGGAGCCACTCTGATTGGTGGGGATTCAAAGAGGCTATTGCTGCACAGCTCTGATTGAACGAGGCAGGTTTTCAGCCCATTGGTTGAATTTCTATCCTAAGAGCTCTCTTATAAGGATTGACTCAGCTGGCAAGGATCACAATGCAGGAAACTGGCAGCCCAGTCTGTGGATTTTCTCTAACATGCAGCTTGGGTGAGAGGCCCCTCTAAACAATGGCTGCTCGATTCTGGTTGTGAATTTAGCCCCAGTTAACCATAAGGGGTCCTTCTTGGCGGGTATTTTCTTTCTTGGAGTCAACACTTGTACATGAATATTAACAGCAGCAGGATTCACAATAGGCAAAAAGTGGAATAACCCAAATGTCCATCAACTGGTGAATGGAGAAACACAATGTGGTTCATCCACACGCTGGAGCAATGAAAAGGAGTGAGATGCTGACACTCGCCACAACATGGATGGACCTTGAACACATGGTGCTCAGTGAGAGAAGCCAGACAGAGATGCAAGGCCACTGTCGACATAAGTAACATCCAAACCTGTAGAGAAATTTATTTTTTTTTAAGATTTTTATTGGAGAATTGGGGAGATGGGAACAGCGGTCGGGAATTGGGGGAAGGGGAGCAGACAAGTTGCTGTTGTTTTGTTCTTCAGTCTAGTTGTGGAGGACGTTGCTTCACTGGCCCAATTTGGCACCACCATTGCGCTCTTCCCCGGCGAGGCAGATCAGTCTCCGGCTTCTGGACGGCCGCTCACTGTGGCTGCTGGCCGCTCACGCTGGCTGCTGGCTACACACGGTAGCCCATGGCAACCCACTGCCAAGGGGCTGCAGCCTATGCCGTCGCCGTCGCCGTCGCCTCATGGCAGCCCAGCTCCAGGTTGAGCTGTTGTTCAGCATCTTAGCTGTGGAGGGCAGTGTCACTGGCCCTCATATGCGGGATCTGAACCGGGGCCCTCTGGCGTCCCAAGCCAGTTCTTAACCATCGCGCCACTCGGCCGGCCCCAAACCTGTAAAGAATTTTAATGAATTTATTTGAGCCAAACTGATGACAAATTGCTGGGAAGCAAAATCTGAACAGATTGAAAAAATGTTCTGGAGAATGGCAGTTTCGCAGCTTATTTTATACATTAGAATCAAAGGAGGTGACATAAAGGAGAGTTACATGAAATCCAAGGGTGGTAGATTAAGGGGGCGGGAGAAAGCAAAGCGGGGAAATCTCTGGGACTGGATAAAAAACAAAATGGAGAGACACTTCTTTTACATGGTTGGGTACATTACAGCTAATAGTTAACATGTACAGCACACAGAGATGGTATTCAGGGAACAAGATAACAATGAGGGATTCTGTGGTTTCCTGTTCTGGTGGACAATTGTGCCCTGAGGGGTCTGGAAAAAAAGGGATCACTTTGACGTTTCAAAGGTATGTTATCTTAAATGCAAAAAGACAATAGACAGGCTTATTTAAGGTAAAGACTGACCTTTGTCAAGGAAGCTACAAGCCAAGGATGTGACTACCAGCCATGACCTGCTTTTAGTTAGGAATTTTTATGTTCAGACCATCCTGTGTGGTCACTTTCAGTCTCTTGAGTTTGTAGGGCCCGCCATACAGGCCTCCCCTGAGCTTGTCAGGTTCAGTATGTGGCCCCTTTTTTATCCACACCACACAGTATGTAATTCCCTTTAGTGAAATGTCTAGAAGAGGCATATCCAGTGGTTGCTAGGGCCTGGGAGGGGATGGGAGTGACTGCTAACAGAGTCTGGGTTGCTTTTTAGAGTGTTTCATGAAAATGTTCTAAAATTGATTATGATGATGGGTGCACAACTCTGTGAATACACTAAACTCCACTGAACTGTGCACTTTAAATGGGTGAACTGTATGGTATGTGAATTATCTCAATAAAAAAAATAGGGTGATGTAAGGGGGGCTGCTTTACATAAGGGGTCAGGCTGCTTCTTGCAGGCAATGACATATGAGGTGACACAAGAATGAGGAGGAGGCAGCAGCGTTGGGAAGGGGTGAGTGCTGAGTCTGAGAACAGTCTGTCAGGTGGGGGAGGCTGTGTCCCAAGAGGAGGCTGGGCAGAGCTGGCAGAGTCCCAGCTGTGGTGGACAGCCAAGAAAAATGCTGGAAGAATGAAGCAGAGAGGCCAGACTTGCTGCTAAAGTGCCTGTGGGGTGAGGATCCCACTCCTAGATGCCTTAGAACTGCCAGTAGCCCTGGGACCATTAGGCTCGACAAGGCTATGTGCAGAACAACTGAGGAAGACAGCCAACTGGCTTCAATGCCCCTGCAGTCTGGGCAGGCTGAGAACAGAGCTCGTGGGAAATAGCCTTTGCCTTTGTTTGCAAAATAAAGCTGCACCCTCTGAGGACCCAGCTTTCTGGTCCCCTCCCAGTCCCCAGATGTCTGCTCTGCTCAGTCCTGGCTCCATCCCAGGGCAGAGGAGTCCAGGTTCCCTCTGCTGCCAGGACCACTCCATCAAGGGTGGCCAGACTTAGAAAATCAAAATACAGGACACCCAGTTAAATCCGAGTTTCAGGTTTTTTGAATCAGTAATTTTTTAGTATAAGTATATCCCACGCAGTATCTGGGATGTACTGACATTAAAAACATGATCTAAACTCAAATTTAACAGGGGGTCCAGTATTCCATTGGCATCTGACCCAATGGAAAGCAGTGTGGCCCTATCACCCTTTGTAATTCACCTTGTTGCACTGGTCACTCTCTGACCTCGAGTCTGTCCCATGCCCACGCGTGAGGGCTCATGCTGTGCGCCCATCTGCACATAGCAGTGGCCCTATCCAGCTGTGGGAGGTCATCCCTTGCCTGCCCCCTCTGTGGGATGGACCTGGACTCCCCCTGGACAGAAGGGCTATGCAAGCAGTTATAGTCGCTGGCCTGTGTCTCCAGCTTGCTGGGGCAGCAGACAGGCGTCCCCTAGACACAGAAAGAAGTCTGGGAGCCCTTCCAACAACTCTTGCAGTGAAAGCCCAAGTCCTCCCAACAGCTTCAGGCCTGGCCTTCTGACCCCTCAGCACCCTCCAGCCTCAAGGGCAATGACAGGCACTGGGCACCATTTCCTGCCTCAAGCCTTGGCCCCAGGCTGTGTCTGCTGTCAGCCTGCCCCTCCCAGGTGACTGCCTAGCTCATCCCCTCACACTCAGGGTACCAGCCACTCTGCCATCTCAGAGTGTGGGCTTTGGTTTGTTTGCTTTCCACCTTTTCTTATGAAATCTTTTGAACTCACAGACATAGGGAGAGAAGAGGGCATAGGGTTTTCACTCTCCTCACACCCACATCCCTCCATCCACCCTAAGATGTTCCAGCTCAACTCTCTATTTTTCTGAAAGGTGGTGACTGGCGAGGGGGATGCATTTTATTCTCAGGGTGCTCAGGAGCCTTGGGAGGGATTTGAGGAAGGGAGGGTCATCATGAGCTGTGTGTTGTAGAGAGGTTCTCTGCCAATGACGGGGAAGGGGCCTGGGCGGGTCAGGAGTGGATTTGGGCAGGAAACAGGGTGGTGTGGTGGGTTGGATGGTGTTCCCAGAACCTGTGAACAGGACCTTATTTGGAGAAATGGTCTTTGCAGATGTAATTAAGTTCAGGGTCTTGAGATAAGGTCATACTGGATCAGGGCAGCCCTAAAGCCAATGACAGTGAGTGTCCTTATTAAGAGACAGAAGCTGAGGGCCAGCTGAGTGGCGCAATGGTTAAGAACTGGCTTGGGACGCCAGAGGGCCCCGGTTCGGATCCCACATATGAGGGCCAGTGACACTGCCCTCTACAGCTAAGATGCTGAACAACAGCTCAACCTGGAGCTGGGCTGCCGTGAGTTGCCAGCAATGGTGTAGGCTGCAGCCCCTGCTGCAGTGGGTTGCCATGGGCTACCATGTGTAGCCAGCAGCCCGCGTGAGCGGCCAGCAGCCACTGTGAGCGGCTGTGCAGAAGCCGGCGACTGATCTGCCTCGCCCAGGAAGAGCACAGTGATGGTGCCAACTTGGGCCAGTGAAGCAACGCCCTCCACAACTAGACTGAAGAACAAAACGACAGCAACTTGTCTGTTCCCCTTCCCCCAATTCCCCAGCACTGTTCCCATCCCCCCAATTCCCCAATTTAAAAAAAAAAAAAAGATAGACAGAAGCTGAGACAGACAGAGGAGAAGCTTCATGGAGACAGGCAGAGATGGGAGGGACACAGGAGCCCCCAGAAGCTGGAAGAGGCGGGAAGGACCCTCCCCTGGGGCCTCTGGAGGCAGCGCGGCCCTCAACACCATGATCTCAGATATGTGGCCCAAGAAAGGTGGGGGAGTAAATTTCCATTGCTCTGAGCCACCCAGTTTGTGTTCCAGCCACCCAGGGACAGTCATTCAGTGACATTGCCTCACTCCCCTTGATACCTTCAGAGATCTGAGCACGGTCCACTTGCTTGTCCCCATCTGACACCTGAGCCCCTAGGTGGGACAGGCGCTCCCTTGGCACCTTCCTGTCTCGCCAACCTGAGGGGAGACCCAGAGCATCTGATTTGAGATGGTGACTTGCTCTGTCCCTCTAAGCCCCTCTCCCAGGCCTTCTGCTTACCTGGGGGTGGGGTGGGAACCCAGCTGGGCCAGGAAGGAACAGCTGAGAAGGCAAGATAAACCTTCTCCCTTAGGGTGGTTCCAGCTCTCCAAACACAGGCTTGGCCTCCACTGATCTCCGTGCACTTGGAGCCAGGCCAAGGGTGGGGTGTGTTGCTGAGGGGACGGGGATATCTAACTTCTGGGGGACGTGGGGAGGAAGCCGCTGGCCTCAGAGTACTCCTTGTCCAGTCCTTGCTGGGTTCCCTGCCCCTAAATCAGTCTCACTCCAGGATATTGAAGAACAATAAAAACCAAAGCTTCCTGCAGAGACATGCAGGAGCCAACGTGCTGGTGGGGCTGTGATAGTGTGTGCAGAAGGGTCAGTGCAGGAAACCAGCAGCCAGACAGGACAGACCACAAAGTGCTCAGGGCCAAGAGGCAGAGAAACAGCCCCAGGGTCCATGGGTGGGTGACCGACAAATGTGACACGGCCCATCCACACATGGGAATATTGCTCAGCTGTGAAAAGGAGTGAGGCACCCATACTCGGCACAATGTGGATGGACCTTGAACACATGGTGCTCAGTGAGAGAAGCCAGACACACAAGGCCACACAGTGTATGATTCCATTTATGTGAAGTGTCCAAACAGGCTCATCCACAGACAGGAAGTGGGTTCATGGTTGTCAGGGGCTGGGGAGGCAGTGGGAGGTGACAGCTAATGGGCATGGGGTATCTTTTGAAAACCTCCAGGACAAGCCCCTTAATTTGAGCAAGTGCACGCCTGCCCCCTCTAGCCCTGCTCCAGATGGCCCAGCACATGGCAGATGAGGGACAACAGAGGGCAGTATAGGACTTGTTACAGCCAGAAGGAAACCCAGAATGTGTGGCCCCTGCTGGGACCTCCTACTGGGCAAGACCAGCACAGGAACCTGTGCTATTTCCCTGGGCCTGGCCACATCCACTAGGACAGGGCATCCCAGCACAGAGCCCTCACCGCCTCAGGTTCTGAGGCCGTTGAGGACTCTTCTGAAAGATTCACTTTTCTGTTTTGTTTTTTTTTTATATTTTTATTGGGGAATTGGGGGAGGGGAACAACGTTGGGAAATTGGGGAATCAGGGAAGGGGAACAGACAAGTTGCTGTCCTTTTGTTCTTCAGTCTAGTTGTGGAGGACGTCGCTTCACTGGCCCATGTTGGCATTATCATTGCTCTCTTCCCGGGTGAGGCAGTCGCTCACCAGCCATTGGATGGCCACTCACGGCGGCTCATGGCAGCTCCCGTCAGCTGCTGGCTACTCACGCTGGCTGTCGGCCACTCATGATAACTTACAGCAGCCCACTGCAGCAGGGGCTGCAGCTTACGCTGACACTGGCGACTCACGGCAGCCCAGCTCCAGGTTGAGCTGTTGTTCACCATCTTAGCTGTAGGGGGCGCAGCGTCACTGGCCCTCATGTGAGATCCGAACCAGGGCCCTGCTGCTCAGAGCTGGAGTCCCAAGCCAACTCCTAACCAACGCACCACTCAGCCGACCCAAGATCCACTTTTTTATTCTGCTCTGTGCTGGCTGATGTGAACACCCAGCCCATGTGCCCAGGGCAGCGGAAAGGAACCCAAGTCCCAGACTCGGATTTCAGACATAGCCACAAAGAGGGAAGAAGGGACCCCGTGAAACACTCGCCACCTTTTCTTTGCCTGCAGGCACCCCACCGCTGCTGGTCTGCCTTTAGAAATGAAGAGAACAGGGAGTCAGACACAGTTGGGCAGTTGCTTAGGGCTGGGAGTGGGGACAGAGATAGTTAAAGGGTCTTCGGTTCTTTCTGGGATGATAAAAATGTCCTACAATTGACTGTGGTGATGGCTGTGTCTGTGAATAGTCAAAACCACTCAATTGTACACTTTAAGTGGGTGATTTGTGTGGTGTGTACACCCTAGCTCAATAAAGCTGTTTAAAAAAAATGAGTGCCTGGGCCGGCCAAGTGGCGCGATAGTTAAGAACTGGCTTGGGACGCCAGAGGGCCCTGGTTCGGATCCCACATATGAGAGCCAGTGACACTGCCCTCCACAGCTAAGATGCTGAACAACAGCTCAACCTGGAGCTGGGCTGCAGTGAGTCACCGGCAATGGCGTGGGCTGCAGCCCCTGTGGCAGTGGGTTGCCATGGGCTACCGTGTGTAGCCAGCAGCCAGCGTGAGCGGCTAGCAGCCTCAGTGAATGGCCGTCCAGAAGCCGGCGACTGATCTGCCTCGCCCGGGAAGAGCGCAATGATGGTGCCAACTTGGGCCAGTGAAGCAACATCCTCCACAACTAGACTAAAGAACAAAAAAGGACAGCAACTTGTCTGTTCCCCTTCCCCCAATTCCCCAGCGCTGTTCCCATCCGCCAATTCCCCAATAAAAATCTTAAAAAAAAAAAAAAATTAGTGCCAGGGAGCAATGCTAATGGGCACAAGGCCTTGTTTTGGGGTGATGGGAATGTTCTGGAATTAGAGTGGCGATGGGTGCACATGTTGTGAAATGTGCTACAAACTGAGTTGTACACTTTTAAAGGGTGAGTTGTATGGCATGTGAATTGTCTCAGACTGTAAAGATATTACCAAACAAGAAAGAGGCAGAAGGTTCTGGGGTGTTTTGGCTCGGTGATCCCCACCCCGCCCCCAGCACCCAGCCCACCTGACCATTGAGCTCTGGCCTCAGCCCAAATACTGGCCAATGCCACTCCTTGCTGTTCTCTGGTGCCCCACCCTGGAGCACCTCCTGGAAGAAGCCCACCCTGTCCTGGTGCTAGGCTCCCCCCAGCAGCCTCAAAATTGCAACCTCTGTTTCATCAGTGGGAAAACTGAGGCTTGCCCCAGGCTGCACAACCAGCAAGGCACAAGTGGGGTCAGGACCCAGGCAGGACTCCTACGCTTTTTTTATTACAGTTTATTAGTCCTCTGAGCTGTGGCCAGTCCCCTCTCCGTTCCTCCCCATAACCCTGTAAGAAAGGGACCTGTGAGTGAGAGAGTCAGGGTCACCCTGGAGCTTCAGGCCTGAGGTGGGGCAGGCCAGTGGCTGATAGTCTTCTTGATCCAGGATACATAGGGGCCACGGCGGTGGCCACGTGAGGCTTAAAGATGTCAGTGCAGTCCGGGGAGCTGAACGACAGGATTCCAGCCACCTGGTCTTTGCCGCACATCAGGGGCCCACCTGAGTCGCCCTGCTGGAGCCAAGGGACACAGATAATCCTTGGTGCCTGCTGGAGGGGGCCTGATTATCCCTGTGGGTGAGAGCTGATTCCAGAGCAGACCCCACATGGCTGTACAGCCTGGTCCCACATCACCCTGCTCCTGACCCCACCTCTTTTATTTGCTCCTTCTTCCTACCACAGGGCCTTTGCACAAGTATATCCATGCCATGACCGTTTTTGGTGCTACAGTTCAAATCCTGTCTCTGCCTCCCCTTGACTGTGTGACTGTGGGCAAGTCACTTAACCTCTGTGCCTCGGTTTCTACATCTAAGAAATGGGCTAATGTTAGCAATCTCAGAGAAGGGGGAGAGCAGGGCCTCTGGTTTGCCCCTGGCAGGGGGCTGCCCCCCATGCCCCTCACCTTGCAGGGGGCCCGGTTCCTGGAAGTGGCCTCCAGACAGAGCATGTAGGGGGTGATGTCACCGTGCCAGAAGCGACTGTTGTTGCACATCCGGGCATCCAGCACATGCATTTCCAGCTCCCGCAACACTCTGGCCAGCTGCCCATCCTGCTGGGTCAACCCCCAGCCGACCACACTGCACAGCGTGCCCGCCACCACCTTCTGGCGCCCTGGGGGCAGGGCCAAGGGCCTGCTGGTCCTGCTGCGTCTCACCTTCCTGTCCAGCTACAGCAACAAAAAGGGGTGGGTGGGGATGGGCAGTAGGGGTGGGGCCTGGGCACGCTGTGCTCCTCCTGCCCACCCTCCCACACCCCATCCTCCACACCTTAAGCAGTGCAAGGTCATGCTCCAGATGGGGTGGCTTCTTGAACTCGGGGTGCAGGACTGCTGCACTCACTCGCAAGGCCAGGCCAGGCTCTCTGAGCGCATGCAGCCCCAGCACCAGCCTCAACTTGGTCCTGCAGGTGGCAGGGTCAGGGCAGCCTGGGGACCCCCCACACCCTAGGCCCTGCCCCTGCCCCCATCCTCTGCTGCACTCAAGGCCAGGGGCCACTCACTGTGGCCACCCCCTCTTCCCCCCCCTACCCCGCCCCACCCCATCCCTCTGCCTCTCCCTGGCTGGTCCTTCCCCTCTCCTTCTGAGTCAGCCTCCTGCTGCCTTCTCCAGGAAGCTCTCCCTGTTCCCAGCCCGCCCTACACACCAACCCAGTCCTGGCCAGGAGCAGGGCTACGTGTGTCCAAACTGCTGGCCCCTAGCCTGGGGTTCCCTCTGCGGGATCCCCAGCCTCATCCAGTGTGTACATGATGCCCCAACCACAGCGTCCTGTTCTGAGGTTTGCATGTGACTAGGCCAGGCCTGGCATAACTTTGCCCAAACTATGGTGAAACGAACTCTTTCGACAGGCTCTAAGGGACCCAACCTGGCCACCATGTGACAACCTTCCTGATAATGCAGACAAAGGACCCTGCAGCAGAGCTGAAAGATGGGCCAGTTCCTAACCCCCTCACATGAGCACCTGGACTGAGCTGTGCCCAAAGACACCTGTCCCACTAGACTTTTCAGTTACATGAGCCAACGGACCCCCTTTGGCCACTTCAGCCAATTTGATCTGCTCCCTTTAGTGCTGGCCAGGCCAGAGGCTGGGCAGCTCCAGGATGGCTTTATTTGGTGGCTTCCTGGATTGGTTCTGCCACCCTCGTAGGCCAGCTCTACCCTGTGGCCACAGTGGGAGACACATTTCTGGGTGTAACAAGAGGTCCAGGTCCATCTAGTTGAAAGGCACTTTGTTGTAGCAAGTAAAGCCTTCCCAGGAATCCCACAGCCTAATGTCACGTGTGCAGGCCTACAGTCAATGTCATGTACACATGCCTCAGCAATCCCAGGAGAAGATAGGGGACCCGCATGCCCCTACAATTGGCTTAAATCACTCAGGACCCACCCCTGGTTAGAATGGAGGACTGTGGGATAGATTCTGGGACTCCTGGGGTGACAGAGGGGCTGGGGAAGGGCATGGTTACTCACGGCTGGGTCACGCAGTGGGCAGCTGTCAACACCCACTGTGGGTGCACAAGGACCCCCACACACAGGTGGGCGCCAGCTTTCTTCAGTGAGACCATGTATGGACGGGAGCGGGGGATAACCTCATGACCCCCAATGATGAGGGTTTCAAATGTGTCACCTCCTGGGGAGGGAGACAGAGAGCCAGGTTACCTGGGTGCCCCACTCCCACCATGACCTTCCCATCCCAGGTCTGGGACATGGACCGTGAGGTTTACCACACTAATACAGTCCCCTCTGTCCACCTGTCAGGTTGACAGGTGGGGCTGTCCTTGATCCTTCCTAATCCTTCACCCCCACATTGTTGTCACCAGCAGGTGACCATCTGGTATCCACACTCCATCCCTTGCTTCTCGGCCCCATCAGGACCCCCCTGGGCACCACAGCGTAGCCCCCATGCAACCAGAGGGGCTGTTTAAAGTGGAGAAACTGGACCCTCACACCCCCCGAGTGGAATGTAAAATGGGGCAGCCACTGTGCAAGCAATTTGGCGGTTCTACAAAAGTTCAACAGAGTCACCACCTGACCTAGCAACTCCCCTCCAAGAGAAATAAAAACCCACGTCAACACAAATCTTGTATACACACATCCACAGCAGCACAATTCACAGTGGTCAACAGGTGGACACAACCACCCATGGATGAACAGATAAACACAATGTGGCCTGTCCACACACTGGAATATTACTCAACTGTGGAAAGGAATGAGGCACCGACACTTGCCACAGTGTGGATGGACCTTGAACACACGGTGCTCATGAGAGAAGCCAGACATACAAGGCCACATAGTGTGTTATTACATTTATGTGAAATGCCCAGAACAGGCACATCCACAGACAGGAGGCGGGTTAGTTGTTGTCAGGGGCTGAGAGTGACTGCTGATGGGGATGGGGCTTCTTTTGGGGGTGATGGAATGTTCTGGAGTTAGATAGAGGTGCTGCTTGTTGCATAACACTCTGAATGTGCTATAAACCACTTTAAAAGGGTAAGTTGTATGGCATGTAAGTTCTATCTCAATAAAGATGTTATAAAAATTGTTTTAGGGAGCAGCTGAGTGGCTCAGTTGGTTAGAGCGCGAGCTCTGAGCAACAGGGTCTCTGGTTTGATTCCCACATGGGACAGTGAGCGCGCCCAAGCTGAGCTGCCAACGGGAGGCCAGATGGCTCAGCTAGTGAGAGCACGCACTCTTAATTACAAGGTTGCCAGTTTGACTCCCGCATGGGATGGTGGGCTGCGCCCCCCCCCCCCCCCCGCCCCAGCAACCAAGATTGAACACAGCACCTTGAGCTGAGCAGCCGTGAGCTGCAGACGGGCTGCAGGATGGCTCAGTGGACTACGCCCACCCCCACAACAAGATTGAATGCGGCAACTGGACTTAGAGCTGAGCTTGCGCCCTCCACAACTAAGATTGAAGGATGACAACTTGATTGGAGCTGATGGGTCCTGGAAAAACACAGTGTTTCCCTTCCCCAATTCCCCAACACTGTTTCCCTCTCCAATTCCCCAATGAAATCTATAAAAAAAAAAAAAGAAAATTGTTTTAAAATTCAATCATGAATTTAAAAAGATTGAAAAGTTTTTTTTAATGAAAATCAAGTCAAAATCTTCCTATGATTCCCCATAATGGTTTAAATATCCTAACTCCCCATGACCCACATCAGCTAGCCCTGTCTTCTTCCCACGCCCCCTCACTCCACTGCAGCCACACAGGCCTCCCTGCTGTTCCTCCAGGGCACTGCCTCCATTCCCACCTCAGGGTCTTTGTATGTGTTGTTCTGGCAGCCTTTCCCCCCAGACATTCCCAAGATTGGCTTCCTTACTGGGTATCTGCTCAAAAGTTTTCTCAGAGACACCCTCCCCAAACTTCCTTAACATAACCCTTTTCCCCTTACTCTGCTCTGTTCTCTTCCTAGCACTCACCCCTCCCTGACATTGTATCACACATAGACTTGCTCACTGCCCTCTATCCCCACTAGTTCTCAAAGGCAGGCCCTGTGCCTGTCTTGTTTACAACAGGCCTAAACAGTATGTGCTCAGCAAATATAGATAGATGGGTGGATGAATGTTGCATGGAAGGTGGATGATGGATGAATGATGGATGATGGATGGGTGATGGATGGGTGATGGATGGATGATGGATGGGTGATGGATGGGCGATGGATGGATGATAGATGGGTGATGGATGGGTGATAGATGATGGATGATGGATGATGGATGAATGATGATGGATGAATGATGAATGGGGTAATGGACGATGGATGGGTAATGGATGGATGATGAGTGATGGATGGATGGATGGATGGATGGATGATGGATGATGGATGGTTGATTGATTATGGATGATGGATGGATGATGGGTGATGGATGGATGATGAGTGATGGATGTATGGATGTATGGATGTATGATGGATGGTGGATTGATTATGGATGGATGATGGAAGGAAGGAAGGAAGGAAGGAAAGAAGGAAGGAAGGAAAGAAGGAAGGAAAAAAGGAAGGAAGGGAAGAAGAAAAAAAAAAACGATGATAGGTGGATGGTTGGATACCTCTCTCACTGGGTCCCCAATTCATCACAGAGCTATTCTCATCCAGTCCAGCCACAATTCTGTGCTGCCCACCACCCACCACCTTCTATCTCATGTTCCCAGGTACCCAGTCTTTGTTAAGCACATATGGTTTGGAAAGGCAGTCAGGGGGTTCAAATTCCAGCTCTGTGCTTCTAGTCGGGGATTCTGGCCAGGCTGCATCATGCTGGGCCATGGTTTCCTGCTGTGCAACCTGGGGTTATGTATACATGTAGATATGGACCTTGCTTCCTGAGTGCTACTGGGAGGCAAACAGCCAGCCTGTGCCCCACGTTCTGTGGTTATGGGAATGTCCTTGTTCTCAAAAAACAGAGGGGCAGCTTACCTGTAACTCACTCTCCAATGGTTCAGGGAAATAAACTACACATTGATACTCTGTACAAGCACCCAGCAAGGGGATGAGGAGGGAGTCTTGGCGAAATGTTTACAACAAAGGAACCCAGGAAAGAGCAGATGGGAGTTCTCTCTGTAAGATCCAAATGAAAAATACCTACAATGTCTGGCCTGAAGTGACCTGTCCTCCACCCCAGGGCCCCAGCTCAGGCAGGCCTTGCTTCCTTTTCAGAGCAGCTGCCATTTCTTCCAGCAGTCCCCTTCTGAGAACAGTGGATTTGTTTCCACTCTCTGTTCTGACATCCACCCATGGACCCCCGGGCACCAAACCTCCTTGTTCTGCTCCCACTCACCTGCCCACAGGGTCCCTGAGGCCACCACCATCACCAGCATCAGCAGACAAAAGGGGGCCTCCATGGTGCTGCCTGGGCCCTCAGCACCTCCCACACCCCATCCACCCCTTCCTATGGGGGAAGGGACGTTCACAGCTCCACTCTACATAGCACACACATCCTCCAGCTGGTTTTTCACCCCCAAGCATTTCAGAGAGTGTTCTCTGCAGACAAAACTACTTCACACCTGAAAAATTTACAAAAATTCTTCCTCGTCATCTCACATCCTATCATGTTCAACCCCCATCTCATGCACAGGGGATTTTGTGTGTATAGTTTTAACATGATTATTTTCTTTGGCCCCATTCTCTTATTGTGGCAAAATAGACATAACATAAACTTTACCATTTCAACCATTTTTAAGTGCACAGCTCAGTGGCATTAAGTATATTCACATCGCTGTGCAGCTGTCCCTACCATCGTTTCCAGAACTTTTCATCTCCCCGAACTGACACTCTGTTCCCATTAAACAGTCACTCCCCTCTCCTCCCCAGCACCTGGTATCACCATCTACTTCCTGTCTCTATGAATCTGACTCCTCTGGAGACCTCCTGTGAGTGAGATGACACAATGTTTGTCCTTCTGTGTCTGGTTTATGTCACTGAGCATCATGTCCTCAGGATCCATCCACGTTGTAGCAGGTATCAGTAGCCTTCCTTTTCATGGCTCAGTAATACTCCACTGTGTGGATGGACCACATCTTGTTTATCCATTCATCCTTCCATAGATATTTAGGCTATTGCTAGTTTTTGGTTATTATGAGTAAAGATGGTACAAACACTCGTGTGCTCTGAGCACTTAGCGGGGTGGTCACAAATCCAAGGGTCCATGGAGTGTTGTATGGACCAGTAATGCTTGCCCTGGCCAGGCAGGGAGTGGGCAGGGTGCAGGCTCCCTGGGGCTTCCCACCTCCCTCCCTCACATCCACTACTCAGCCCTCCTCACCCACGTGACCCAGCCTGGGCCAATCAGATTGCTCTACCCCCTAGCTACAGGAGTTGGTTCAGGGTGGAGCAGCTCTAAGCAGGCTCAGAGAGGACCCTGGCCTGGGTTTCCTCTACTGGGACTTTTCAGAAACAGCCTCACTCTGTTCTGAACTTGAAGCTGCAAGGGTGTCAACCTGGGGGTGGCCCCAAGGTGAGAAGATTCCACCTGAGAACGAGGTCTGCACAGAGGAAGCTGAGCATGGGGCTGTTTCCTCCTGTAGCTATGACAAACTAACAAACCACCTCACATTTGGTGCCTGAAACCACACAAGATTATTCTCTTAATTCTGGAGGCTGGAAGCAGTAAGGGCCTCAATGGGCTAAACCTAGGTGTGGGCAAGGCTGCTGGCCCTTGGGGTCCAGGGGAGAATCGTCCCTGCCTTACCCATCTTCTAGAGGTGCAAACTCTGGAATGAGGCCATGGGCATCTTTGGGGCTGTTATTCTGCTGCCCACAGTCGGGGAGACAGAGTCTGGACAGAACCGGTGCCTGGATCTGGCTGTGCCTGAAGCCCCAGCCTTGTGACTTATGGAAACCAGTGAAATTCCTTTGTGCTCAAGTCAGTTTGAGGTGGGCATTTTGTCCTTGGCTACTGCAAGGGTCATGACAAAGAAAGGAGAGGTGGCAGACGAACTCATCTATATGCTGGGGTCATGGCAAAGAAAGGAGAGGTGGCAGACGAACTCATCTATGTGCTGGGGCTCTGGAAGCAAGTTCCCACCCATTCTCTCATTTGATGGCATCTGACACAGGAGGCTCTGGAGTTCTATCTCCATCCAGTAGGATGTGTGACACTAGGGATGACTTTGTCAACCTAAAGTCTGGTCACTTCAACGCCAATAGGAGTCCCCAATTTGGGGTGTGGTGAGGAAAGACTATTCAGTGCAAACAGCTCAACTGTGATACAGCACAGCCAGGGGACAGCCCAGCCAGCCTGGCCCAGGTGAGGTGACCCAGTGTTATAGCCCCAGTGTGACAAACTACCTCCACCAGAAAGTGCCCTGGGAGGGTAGGGGGGAGGTTGGTCATGGGGAAGCTGACTCAAATATCAAAGTTCCTGCCTCCAGTCCCTGATTGGTCCATTTCTACGCAAATAAGGACTCCAAATCCTCAGTTTGGTCAGAATAGAGCCACTCTGATTGGTTGGTTAAGATGCAAAAAGGAATATAGCTGCACAGTGCTGGTTTGACAGGGAAAGTCTGATTCCTAATGGTCGAATTTCCATCCTAGGAGCTTTCTTTTAAGGGTTGACTCAGGCTGCAGGAGCACAGTGCAGGAGGCTGGCAGCTCAGTCTGTGGAATTTCTCTAACATGCAAACAGGCAGCTTGGGTGAGAGACCCCTGTAAACAATGGCTGCTCAGACTCTGGTTATGAATCTGGGCCCAGTTAACCACAAGGAGTCCTTCTTGGCAGGCATTCTTCTCGGAGAACAAGTTTAAGAAAAATTTACACATATACAGAGGGTGCCAAAAAAATGTACACACATTTTGAGAAGAAAACTGTATAAAAATTGTAATAATATATACCAATAACAAAAGATGACTACAAGTCACATTTGACTTCTGCAATTACAAGAGGTGCTCAAAATGGTTACCATCAGCATCCAGACATTTCTGATTACTGGGAACTGTTGCTTGAGCAACGTGACCAGTGTCCACTTGTATACATTTTTTGGCATCCCCAGTATATATGTGTGTGTGTGTGTGTGTGTATAAAATATCTATCTATCTATCTATATATGTGTGTGTGTGTGTGTGTGTGTATATATATATATATATATATATATATATATATAAAATAGTCACAGGTCCTAGCATGTTTTATCTTTTTCTTTTCTAAAGATTTTATTGGGGGATTGAGGGAGGGGAACAGCGTTGGGGTAATCGGGGAAGGGGAACAGACAAGTTGCTGTCCTTTTGTTCTTCAGTCTAGTTGTAGAGGACATCGTTTCACTGGCCCATGTTGGTATTATCATTGTGCTCTTCCCAGGTGAGGCAGCCACTTGCCAGCCATTGGACAGCTGCTCATGGTGGCCCACGGCAGCTCACGAAAGCTCATGCCAGCTGCCGGCCAACCCCATTGCAGCCTATGCCATTGCTGGCGACTTCACGACAGCCCAGCTCCAGGTTGAGCTGTTGTTCACCATCTTAGCTGTAGAGAGCACAGCGTCACTGGCCCTCATGTGGGATCCGAACCGGGGCCCTGCTGCTCAGAGTTGGTGTCTCAAGCCAACTTTTTTTTTTTTTTTTAAGATTTTTATTGGGGAATTGGGGGATGGGAACAGTGCTGGGGAATTGGGGGAAGGGGAACAAACAAGTTGCTGTCGTTTTGTTCTTCAGTCTAGTTGTGGAGGACATTGCTTCACTGGCCCAAGTTGGCACCATCATCGCGCTCTTCCCGGGCGAGGCAGATCAGTCGCCGGCTTCTGAATGGCCGCTCACTGCGGCTGCTGGCCGCTCACACTGGCTGCTGGCTACATATGGTAGCCCGTGGCAATCCACTGCCACACAGGGGCTGCAGCCTACACCGTCACCGGAGACTCACAGCAGCCCAGCTCCAGGTTGAGCTGCTGTTCAGCATCTCAGCTGTAGAGGGCAGTGTCACTGGCCCTCATATGTGGGATCCGAACCGGGGCCCTCTGGCGTCCCAAGCAAGTTAACCATCGCGCCACTCGGCCGGCCCTCAAGCCAACTCTTAAATCAACGCACCACTCGGCCAGCCCCTATCTTGTTTTATCTCAACAATCCTGGGAACGAGGTTCCATTAGTGTTGGGGTGGTCAGATTTAGCAAGTAAAAATATAGGATGCCTGGTAAATTTGAATTTCAGATAGACAATGAATATTTTTTTGTGTAAGTTATGTCCTAAATATTGCATGGGATACCCTTATTATAAAAACTATTTGTTGTTTACCTAAAATTCAAATTTAACTGGGCAGCTCTAATTATTATCCCCATTTTGTAGCTTAGAACACTGAAATTCTGAATGTTGAAGCCACTTGTCCTTGGCTATGTTACAGGATTTGAACCTGGAAGCCTGGGATATTATAGTCAGATGTGTGTGCAAAAGCTCCTTTGGCAATCGTGTGGGATACAGTCCGAGAGGAGAAAAGGGGACAAGATTGTGGCAGTTTTACAAACACCGATTCATGGTGACTGCTCCCATTGACCCGGGGCGGGGGGGCGAGGGAGGGCCAGGAGGGATGGTGGTATTTGTGTCCCCTCTCCTTGAACCTGGGTGGGCTCATGTCTAATCTTGTAGAAGTGGCACCATATGACTGCCTCCTGGGACCGTCATCGAGCCTGCACCGCCACGCTGTGAGGAAGCCAAGTGGTAGGTGTGGGGTGGTCATGTGTGAGCACTCAGTCCGCTGAGCCAAGCCCCCGAGTTGCCCCAGCTCAGGCACCAGACGTGAGTAAAGACACTTCCAGATGATCCCAGGCCCCAGGGTTCAAGCCACCTAGAGATGAAAAGGGCACAAGTCATCTGATTCTGGACCCACAGAATCTGAGCGTAAACAGGTGGGGTGCCATGTGACTAAGTTCAGGCGGCTTATTCTGTAGCAGCGGTGAGGAATAGGGAGAAACCATCCAAGGCAGAGCAGAGGCCCGACTAACAAGCTCCATGGGGGTAGCCACAGGGGCTGGCGTGACTCAAAGAGAGTGGTTGGCCAGACTAAGTATCCTTGGCCTTTTGGGCCAGTTTGGGTTGCAACTACTCAGTCTGAACCTGCACTCATGAACAGCCCAACACAGGTAGAGAAGTGGTATGGCATGTCTGACTGGTGGTCCTGGTTTGCTGACATCAGGGTCTCCTAGTGCAGGCCAGGCTCCGGGACCCCAGGAGGCCCTTTCGTCCCATTGCCACTTGCTGGGTTCACAGGAAACGGCTGCCCCACTGCCCTCAAGGTGCAGAAGCTGACTCAGTCTTCAGGAAATACCTCCCCGGAAGAGGAAGGAAAGCTGTACAGCCCCAGGCCCCAGCAGGCTGCTGGCCTGGCCAAGGGCCTGCAGTGCTTGGAGAGGGTCACATGTCCAGGGCCTGACGCAGGACTGGGTATACCTGTAGATGCTACAGGGGCTGGGTCCCTGGTAACACACAGTGGAGCTCAGAGGCACCTCAAACCAAGTGAACAAAGCCTGGAGGGGGTTGGGTGTGGCTGCCACAGTGGCCAGGCTCTGCTCAAACCTGGCTAAAGACACTGGGCATGCAGGTGAGGATGGCGAGGCATATGTCTGAGAGTGGCCCCTCGCTGACCCTGTGCTGCCCACAAGCCACATATAAGGAAAGCCAAAAATGAAGACGATTGGGTGAAACCTTTCATATTTTAATGTAGGAAAATCATTCATGTTAAAAAACAAATGAAACTATAGAGGCCAACCATGAAAGCTGCACTTGTGGGCCAGGGCAGCTTGGTGGGCGCCATGGGGCTGGACTTGGCCCTGGGGTACACTTGTCCCTCACCTGCGTGGGGGTCATCTGGGCTCCAGCTGCAGTGACGAGTTGGGTCAGGGCTCACTTGGGCCTTTGTCCTGATGTCGCTATCCACCCTGCTCCTGACTTTGGTTACACAGAAATAAAGCCAGAAGCCTGGGTGATCCTAGGTGGTGTGGCATGTGCAGGCAGCAGGTGGAGCTGCCTGAGGGCTGCTGGTCCTGAGGGCTGCTGGTCATTTCTGGCCTGGGGCTCCGGACCCTTGAGGCCTGCACCCCCAGACGCTGGGCCTGCCTCTGGGTCCCATGCATGCAGCGTTGCTGGCACCAGGCCCGGCCTCCTGGTCCCCAATGTCCTTAGGGGAGGCCAATGAGAGGTTGGTTCTCTGGCTTCTCGTATAGTCATTTTATTTAAATTCCAAACAAACCAAAGCAGAAGAAAGAGATGACCACAAGTTAATCAGTCTACTAACTGGGAACCCCAAGTCTCTGGCTCCAGCCAGTGGGGTGGCTAATGGGGTGGGGTCTGGGACCCCAGGCCTGCCTGCCGGGCACCCAGCACAAGTGGGGCCCCTCCTCTGAAGCCAAGGAGAACCCAGAGCAAACATGGGAAAGGAAAGCAAAACCAAGGAGAGCGCAAGCGCAGAGCCACCTCCCTGAGGTGACCTCGGCGTCATGAGGTGCCCAAGAGCCCACAGAGTCCGGGCCTGGTGAGGTAAAATCTGTGCATTTATTTGGTAGGGAACACGCTGTCAGGACTCCTCATTGCCGGAATCATCCTCGTCGTCCCCGAAGCAGCTGTCAGCCTCAGCCTCAGCCTCAGCCTCAGCCTCGGCATCCTCATAGTAGTCGTCGTAGAAGAGGTCCGAGCCCTCGTCGGGAGCTGGAGCCCGGGTTTGCACGCAGTACTCAGCCAGCGTAGTGGGCACCTTCACACCATCCCGCTCCGCATCCACCTTGGTCCCCTGGACCTGCTTCCTGGGGGGAGACGGATGGGAGTCAGGACCCGCACCCTGGGAAGGGGAGGATGCAACGGGCTCACTCAGGTACACACAGACAGAGCACTGTCCTGTACATGAGGCGGCGGGTGATGTTTATAGGCAAGGGGGGACAAGTGAGGTGACAGAGAGGCAGCAACCCACGGTGCACATACCTGGTAGCCTGATGCCCTAGTCCTAGTGCAGTATCTCTGAAACCGGAACCCCACAAGGCCAACCTACAGACGCGGAAACCTCTAAGCCTGCGTCACCTGATGGAACCTGCCATGGCTGGGGGTGAGTAAACAGGCAGGCGCAGCCAGCTCAGCTCCCCCACATGGACACATGTGAGATGGCCCCCGGGGAGTCTGCAGGGATAAAAATAGTCTGGATTCCATTTCAGGGCCTCCTGGGCGGCCAGGGAGAGCTGGCGGAGGTGTGAGTGCACGCAGCCTGCAATGGGTGGCTTGTGCAGCAGGCTGGCAGAGTGGGACTGTTTGCCGGTGGGGCCAGCATCACCCATCCATCACAGCCATTCCTGAGCACCACAAACAGGAAGCTGTAACTGCCCAGCATCAGGGACAGCTGTCCTGGGGTTGCAGGGGGACACAGAGAGGCAGGGAGGGTTCGCCCAGTATACTCGCTCATGGTACCCCTGGGGGCTGTGTGTGGGTCAAAATCGTTTAGGAAATTCTTATGTAAACCACCACAGAACCACCAGCAAAAATAGGCCAAGCCTATGTCAGAAAGCCAACACACTTTACTGGCAAAAAAAACAAACCACAAGAGGAAAGGGACCACAGGACAGATAAGGCTGTCCAGGCTGTGGATCACCTGGACAAAACCCTGTGCCCCAATGCCATATGCACACAGACACATGTGCACACACATATAAAACAGGACTAGTCAAAGCAGGATAGGATGACGACCACTGTGACCACTCTCACCACTGTGCGGCTCGGAGCAATGAAGATAGCTGTGTAGAGACAGGAGTGAGCAGGTTACGACAGGCGAGCACGTGGACAGCCTGAGGTCAGGCACCTATAAAAGGCGGTTCTCTAGTCTGTCCAGGCCGGGGGGGGATGCAGTCACAACGAAATTCACTGAACTGAGCCCCGAAAAAGGACGAACTTTACTGTATGTGATATGGTAGCACACCTGATTGAAAAGCGGGTGACAAAGTGGCACATGCAGTGTGGTCCCATTTTTCGAATAAAAGTCTGGAAGGATATACTGAAACATTAACCATTAGGTGTTACGATCATGAGGTTTTTGCCTCTATTTGTACCTACATGCTTTTTGCCTTCTCATTGCTTGTTTTGTTTCCATAGCTTTATTGACAAATTGCGCCCATGGACAGCTTCAGCAGTGAGCTGACCCACGTGTGCCCATGAAAGCACCCCACAAATGAGTTCATGCATGTGCCCATTGCCCCGAGGCCCCCACATTCCCAACAGCCACCGATGCGGACACACTGCCCACATTTGCCCAGCTTCCCTCAGGCAGGTTAAGCGCCTGGAGATGTGTCCTCATGGCTACGTGGACAGGCCATGGCTTGTTCTCCCCTCACCTGCTGACACACATTTGGGTTGTTCCCTGTTTTTGGTGAACCAACTCTATTTTGAACACTTGCATGGGTGCTGTGTGGACACATGCCCCGTTTCTCTTGGGTAAATACTTAGGCCTAAAACAGCTGTGTCTAACTTATTTTCTACTTAAAAGGTAAATGACAAACTGAAAACGTATTTGGAAAAAAATCTAACGAAGGGCTGTTTGTTATGAAACAGTAAACCCTATGATGAAATGTGACAATGGACAACGGACACAGCAGCTCACATAACGTGACAAACAAAACGAGGCAGATAGAATGGGTCACACAGCCAGGGGTGAAAGCTGCCAGCTTGCACACGAAGCCCAGTGTGGCACCGCACTGCTGAGGACCCACTCTGTGATGTCGCTGCCTCGCTCATGACGGGAAAGCACTGGAAACAACTGAGACAAGGGGATGCTGGTTCTGGCAAATCCTTAGGCAACGTGTTGCTTTTATAAGCAGAAAAAAAATTACGTTTTAGAAAAGAAAGCTATTTTCTAAATATGTTGATACCACGATGGTTTTTCAGCCTTTAGAAATGATTCCAAGTTTCAAAATTACAAATGTTAGGTGATGTTTACAGCAGATTATTAAGAGGGAAAGAGAAAACACTGCACAAAGCCCAGTCTCAGTAACATGAAAAACAACTGCGGGAAACATGGGTGAGGGGCAGAAGCAAGCAGTGGAGGACACGCACACGCCCAGACATGGGTCGTGGCATGCCTAAAAGCAAACAAACCACACCCCCGTTCACTGGACATGCGCAGACAGGCCACACATGACAGGACCACTGCCATCCTCAGAGGTGCTGCCTGGGAGGGAGGGAGAAAGGGAAGGATGGGAGCAAGGGGCAAAGGGAAGCCCGGGAGGAGCCGTTGGAAACCTGGGTGTCTATTTCTGGACCATACTATCAAACCTATTTGTCACACCCTCACCCCAACAACGTACATACATGGTATATCTATAAACCACAATAAACACATGGATTTGCATGACTGAGATATTTCAAAATGCAAAAAGGCAAGAAAAACACCCAATTTCCTAAAAAAGGAGAGAGACCAGGAGAAAAGCAATAGGCTGGGCTTGCATGTGGCTGCGCCTTTCCCCGCCCAGTGGCCTTGGGGTCTGTCTGTGACCCGGCTGACGTGGGAGCCTCCTCACCGGATGATGTCTGTGTACTCCCGGTCCCTGCCTTTGCTCTCTTTCCACTTCCTGTACATCACCGAGGCATCCACGTTGGCTGGGGAGAAGGTATTGGGTTCGTTGAGGAGGGAGATGACACTCAGAAGGATGGTCCTGGGAGAACACAGAGTCAGCGGGTGGAGGCTGCAGGGGTATTCACTGGTGGCATCCCCACCCCAGCAGCCGGGATCGATGCTGCACCAGGAGCCATAGGCCGAGCATGGCCCCCCAAACCACCACTGATGGGAGGATGCCCAGAGCCCCAGCTTTCTGGCTGGGGGAGCTTTTGGACACACCCTGACCTGGTACCCCCAACCCCAAAAGTGACATCTGTCTGGCTTTTTCACCAGGCCCACCCTGCCTGCTGGCCTCCTCCTGCCCTTTGCCGCATGCCCATTTCCCTGGACAGGACTACCTTCCTTCCACCTGAAACACGCCTTTCCCCATCCCCTAGAGCCCAGCCTGGCAAGTGAGTCCCCCTGTGCCACCATCTTTTACCATGGTCTGGGCTGGACTAAAGACACATAAGTGAGGCCGGGGGCTGGCAAACTCAGGGTGAGAGGTCACCTGAGGGTAGAGGTGGCTGGGCTCAGTAGGGGTTGAAGAAGGAGAGGTGATCCCAGGGCAAGATATGGACACAGGATTCCTGGTGAGTGGGGCAGGGGTGTCAGATGAGAGGCAAGGCCAGCGGAGATGGCACTGGCTCTTGGGGCCCCAATACCCTGCAGATGGCCAGTTTCCAGGTACCACAGCACTGCAAGAAAGTGTCTCCCCATGTCTGTCCCCAAGGCTCTGGCAAGGTCAGGATTGCTGGGGGCGGGGATCTACCTGCTGCCCAACTCACCTGACATTCTGGGTGGGGTTCCAGCGCTCCGAAGGCAGCTCCCCGCTCTGGGGGTCGTCCACCGGGGGATGCAGGATAGAGATACACACGTCCCCCGTCTGTGTGGGGACAGGAGGGCAGGGTCAGTACCCACACCAGCCCCTGCTGTCCCCACTACAGAGGCTGGGCGGAGCAGGCTTACCTCATAGATGTTGGGGTGCCACATCTTGGTCAGGAAGCGGAAGGCCGGTGGGGAGTAAGGGTAGTCGATGGGGAACTTGAGGCGTGCCTGGGAGTGGGCAGAAAGCAGCAGGGCTCAGCGAAGGCTGGCCCTGTTGTCACCTCAGCGCTGTGTGTGGGCAGCCCACTGCCTGTGGACTCCGTCCGTGAACACATAAACAAGGACATCAGCCTGGGATGGACACGCGTGTGTGTACAAGTCACTAGAGAACCTGCCTGCCACTCACGCCCCTCAAAGGCCTGGGGTCAGGTACATAGCAGGCTGCCTCGGGCTTTATTGGGGTCACCTGAGCTGATCCTGGCCCCCACCCTGCTGCTGGGGAGTGTGGGCACCTGCCTAGAGAGCAGCTCAGAGCCCATTCATGGCCCACGCCTGTAGGAGGGCTCAGACCAACACACAGCTACACAGACCGGCAGGACCTGGGGCCAGGAGCCTCCAGCTGGGTACTGGACACCCGTCTCAGTTTCTAGGCTGTGGGGAGGATTAAAATAGATGTGTGCACTTGGCAATTCCTCCTGACACCTAGCTGTGCCGAGCTCTGTGGGAGGAGATGAGTCAGCGCTGGGTGGACAGGCTCTCTGCCCACAGGTGTCTGTCTTGGGGTGGGGTGGGGGCGTCAGAAGGCAGACAGGAAGGTCACGGGGTAGATGAGGGAGGACCACCTGACAAGGTGACAGAGCTGCACAGACGCAGCAGGTAAGGAAGCTTCGTTTGCTTGCTTAAGCTACAGTCCCAGGCTTCGGGCTATCAGGGGACATCTGGCCTGGGGTCCTGGCGGTGCCTTGGGCTCTCAGAGCAAGCAGGCTGGGGGCCACTCAGAGCATTTGGGCCAAGTCCCTCTGTTCCTGGGTGAACTTGCTGAGACCACTGGCCATGGCCACAGAGCAAGCCTGGAACCTGGGTTTCAGCACCTGCCCTGCAGTTCCCCAAGCCCAGTGTTGGGTTTCTAAGTGATGACCCCAAGAACAACTGAGGCCTCCTCAGTGGAACAGCGGGACAGGCTTCCCCTGCACCAAACATCCACCATGTCTCTTGTTTACTGCTGAGCAAACAAAGGCTCAGAGAAAGAAAGCACCTTGCCCAAGGGCACACAGCAAGTCTCTCAGGTACCCTCTTCAGCACACCACACTGGCCCGGGGGGTGGGGGTGGGGGGGCCTGGTGCAGGCTAAGTGCTCCTATAGCTTATAAAGGAGAAGTGGGAGCGGCTGGGCTGCAGGAAGTGGTTGGGAAGTGATGGTGGCCCGTGGATACTTCCCACCCCTGCATTTCCACATCTCCTGCAGAAGAGGGTCTTTCCCCCACATCCCATCTGACCACACCGGGACCCAGAGCGGGAGGATCGGGTGGATGGCAGAACCACACTGGGCCCCACGCTAGTTTCCTTGAGGACAGAGTTTATGGCAGATGTGATACAAGTCTGGCAGCACCTGCTCCTTAATCCACTCTTTTCTAGGAAAATGGGATTATCCCCCCAACAGCCTGGGAGGCTCTACCCACAATCCCTTGCAACCACTTTAGTGAGCAATAGCCAGACACCCTTGTCCCTTCCTCCCAGATCTGCAACCTTGCTTAGACTCTTGGCCTTGCCTTGCCTCAGGGTAGGACTCTATTGTCTGGATTCTGAGTGGAGCCCTTAGCCAACTTGTTCTCCAAAGTGGACAAAAGAGGCTGGAGAGGAAGCTAGTTCAACTTTTCTGAAGCCAGCCCCAAATCCATTCTCTGCATGGGAAGGTGGGATTCCAGACACATAACTTAGCCCAGGGCTGTTCACACTTCTCCCCTCATTCCAACCCCGCAGCTAGAAAGCACCCCCAGCAGACCAGGCTGCTCCCTCACAGCCACTTAACAGGCTGGCTAAAACATCAGCCAAAAGTGCAAACACAGACATCTGTGGCCTAGCGTGGTTTTTGCTTCCCAGCCAGGCTGAACCTGGCAGGGCCCACCAGGCTCTTGGCAGGCTGTGATGGGGTGTGTTCCTACGCTGAGGGCTCATTCCCCATCTCTTCCACAGGGAGACCCTTTGCCTTGTCCCTCTGACTCAAGAAGCCAAGAACTGCGATCTGAGAGGGGTCCTTCCAAGGACACGTCTGGGCTCAGGTGATGAAGTCGAGAAAGCTGCCCAGGGTTTTGGCCTGAGTCCTTTGTCACACCAGTCCCAGGGAAAGCCCTCGCCTCCCTGATCCTAACAACAACAAAAGGGAACTGCTCACAGTTAAGCCACCACAGAGAGCAAAAGAAATGGCCTAGAGTGTAAGATTCTGGCCTCAAGAAGCCACCTGCTCAGGAAAGTCTGAGAAAGGCCAGTTGGGGTGGTCAGAGAGGAGCCCGTGCTTCTGGGGGCAGGGTCTGGGATACTGGCAGGGGCCGGAGGCCTGGCGTCCGTGGGGGCATCTTTGCAGTGTGGCTCCCAGGGACTGGGTGGAGGATATCAGTGATGGTCCTGCCTCAATCTTCCCAAGAGAACAGATTATGTAAAGCTCGGAATAAAGCTGAGAGGGTCTGGCCCACTGATATTGGCAAGGGTGGCCGCTTTCCAAGCAGGTCCTGGCTGCCAAGGCCCCAATCTAGGCCTTTGTTGGAACCCCAGCAAGTGGCTGAGCCACTGCCCCCACCCCACTCCCCCACCTCCCGCTGCTCTCCCTCCCCCAAGGCCGGTGCACCCTAACAATAGTGCTTGCTGGGGAAGCCTCTTCTGGAGAAGTCTCTTTGCCTCTTCGGGAGGCAGGGAAGGCAGCTGAAGGCTGGGTCAGCTGGGGCTCCCCCTTCACCTCCTCCGCAGGACAAGGCGGAGGAAGGGGTCACTCGGGGCTGAGCAGTCCCAGGCGTGAGGGAAGCGGGAACTCCACACCCAAATAAAACAGGGAGGTCCCCAGGCCTTCTCTCTGGTAGGCCTGAATCTGCTTTAGGGAGGCTGGGAGGCTCTCGGGGACTCCTGGGGCCCGGGAACGGTGACTGAGGAACCTCCAGCGAGAGGGCGGAGGCCTCGAGCAATGGGGAGGGGGCCACCCCAAGAGGGCAGGGGTCGCGGCATCCGCACTGAGCTGCAGGCTCACCTTGAAGTAGCCGCCCTCGTAATAAGTGTTGGGGGGCCCGAAGATGGCCACTTCCCAGTTGTACAGGTCGCCTTCGTCCACCAGGGTCACCCGGAAGCCCTCTACCGGCTCCTCCTGCAGCCCCTTGAGCTCGAGCATCAGCGCCTTCTGTGAGCTTGGCACCAGCGGCCGGGCCATGGCGGCGGCGGAGGGGCCCGGGGTCGAAGGCGCGCTGGGCCGCGGGGCCGCCGCGGGGCCGCGAGACGGGCCGGGGCTGGGGCCGCCTTCCTCCTCTACGCCACCGCGGCCGCCTGGGGCCCCCGAACGCTCCACTCGCTCTGACGCCGCCGCCTGCCCGGCGTTCCTCTCCGCCCGGCCCGCACGCCCCGCCCCGCGCTGCGCCTGCGCGCCGCCGCCGGGCCCCAACCGCGCCTGCGCGCCGCGGCCAGGACCCGACTGCGCCTGCGCACCCGCCCGCGGGGCACGCCGGGAAATGGAATGCGGCCTTTCCTGGACCTCCGAGCGCGACCGCCCGGAGGGAGGGGGCCGAGTGCGCAGGCGCCTTGGCACTTTAGAATCTCTAGGAGGCCGCCGCAGCCTCTTCTCTGACGAGCTCTTGGACGGCTGTGCGCGGAGAGGCGGGCAGGATTAGGCTGCGCCGCTCCGGCCCGGCCCGCCAGGCTTTTGGGGCCTTTTCTGTGACGTCTCCGGGGCGGGGCGGGGCCGGGGAAGGTGGGGCAGGGGCCCGGCCCCTCTGCGAACGCTTCTCGCCCCCTCCTCGGGCGGGGTCCAGCGGTGCGGCGAGTCCTGGACTCCGCGACCTGCCGGCCCTGAACCTGTTTCCCCATCCTTGAACGGGGTTGGCGGACTCCCTTTCCGAGTATCTAGAGCGAGCAGAAAGGAAGCGGGGCCGATGGGGAGGCGAGGGGGCAGGGGAGAGCATGCGCTGGGGCTCGCGCCCCGGGTCCTCGGCGGGCGGTTCCACAGTTTTCTGTCGGAGGGGCTGAAGATAGGGCCGAGCTCTGGGCAGGGGCGAAGACCCCGCGAGGGCAGTACGGGCCCGAGGGAGGCGGGGAGGCCTTAGCAGAGCCTTCAAGTTACCACTCGGTTCAACAAAGGAATCAGAAGACATGGACAAGGCGCTGCCCCACAGACAAACTGGGGAAGTCATCACCACTCATGTGGCACCCAGTCTGGCCGACCCCCACCTTCCTCCAGCCCTGACCCTGACTGCCCTAATCTTAGGTTGACCTTTGACTCAACCTGAGTCCTGACCCCAGCTAGCCCTGACCCAAGGTTTCACCCTGACTCGACTGAGCTCTGACCTGGCTGAGTACCGGGCCTTGACACCCACACACCCCTTGCTAGGTCATTTGGTCAGGAGAGTTAGGTGTGGTGTGCTAGCCTCCATCCCTCCACCTCCATAGAGTGACAGCTCCCCATGAGGGTGACGGGTTGTCGCCCCGACCCTCCCGCTGTGCCTGCAGCCCGGCAGGTGTCCTGGGCAGCTAACAGCTGCAATACCTCAGGTTTGGCCAAGGTGACTACCTCCCTCAGATGCCCTAACACCTGGCCCCTTGCCTTGTGACAAATGACAGACGGGTGAACCTGTCTAGGGGAAGGAAACAGTAACACTGGAGGAAAGAGGGAGAGGAATCAGAGCCTTGGACAGAGCAGCAGTTCAAATGGCTGCCCAGGACTGGGCTTGTCTTTCTCATCGCTAAAGCTCTAGACTTAGTCTCTCAGGTCCTCTGTCCTGCACCCTGGGGACCTGGGGTGGGCCCCTCACCTGCCAAATGCGCTAACTTTGCCAAGTGGTCCAGGTGTCCTGACCCTCATTGTCTGCTCATAGCACCGAAGTCACAGTGTTGGCATGTGGCAGCCAGTCAATAAACAGTAATTAATCAACATTCTAACAGATTTCCCAAGGTCTCTGACTACGTACACCCCACATCCCTTGGAAGTACTTGGGCGGGGGGGGGGGCAGTCCTGGAAGTGGAAAGGGAGGTACTGGATTTGTGCCCCACATACTCAGCCAACCCACTGGGGGCCTCATCTCCCAGGAAGCCTGCTGTGGTGGCAAATGTCTGCAGTTTCTTTCAGTTTTCTGGCCACAGCACCTTGATTTTCCTGGGGGCGGTTTCCCCATCTGCCAAATGCAGGTAGTGACTTACCCTCTTCATGACGGTGATCAGAGCCAAATGATGTGTTTCAGGCCTCGAACATGACATCACTGCCATTAGTATCTGCCCAGTTGACCTCTTCTTCAGACAGCTGGAGAAACTGAGGCCCAGGGAGGAACTGCTTGGGTGAGGCACATGTGGAGAATGGGGCTGGGAACTTGGTCTCTGGCTTCCAGAGCAGCCGGCCACAGGGGCCCACAGCCCTGGGGAAGGGCCTTCTGGGTCCAGGGCACCTCACTAGGTGCCTCAGTGCCCTCAGCTCCCATAAAGTCATATCCTGGTGATGGTGGGGCCTACTGGGGCTTGGTGGGTATGCTGCCAGGTGGAGAAGCGCTTCTGTGGTTGGGCTGGGGGATGGAGCACACAAACCGAGTAGGCCTCAGGCACAGACTTTATTACTGCTGGGGGTGGGGGGGGCTTTATGGGTGTGTAAGGAGGGGTGCCCGTTTTCTGGGACCCTTGGCTTGCCCCTGAAGGGGGCTGGAGCATCATTTTGGTCCGAAGCTGGGTGTGAGGAAGGCTCCCCACACCCCCTGCATGAGAGGCACCCAATCCTCTTCTTTCCAGACCCGTGTCCTGTCAGGAGCTGGTGAGCCAGGCCTCGCAGTGTCCCCAACTGTCTGGGTGGAGAAGACAGACGAAGCATGAACAGAGCTCAGCCCACCGGCTTGACCTTGGCGATGAAGAGGGCAGCAGCCTTCTCCAGGAACTCCTCCCGGGTCATGGGGGAGCTGGGCCTCCGGGCCACCAGGGCACGGTCCATGGCTTGCGCCAGACTGTCAGGCCCCAGGCGCCAGCCGGCTTCCAGGTATCGAGCAGGCGCGGCAGCACTGTCGCTAGCCTGCAGGGCCCCCTCCAGGGTGTCCAGCACCGCCTGGCCCATGCAGCGGTCAGCTGTAGCCAGGGCTGGGTCCTCCAGCAGTCGGTAGAGTGCGCCTGCCCGTGCCACGAACTCCAGCAGCACGAAACAGGTGAGCATGCCGGTGCGGAAGACACCCAGAGGTATGGCCTCATGGTCCCGGCACTGGATCTTGCGTAGCAGAGGTGCCACCACCTCCTCGGGGGCCTCCCCATCGCGGCAGATGCGCTTGAGCAGCTCGCTGTAGGTGCGCCCATCCAGCCCTGGCTTCTTGCGCCCACTGGCGCTCAGGCACTCGTAGGCCACACCAACGTTGTTGTTGAAGGCTGTCCTGTTGATGGACAGGGGCGTTGGGCCAGCCAGGCAGCGCCCAGCATCACCTGGAGGCCCCCCAGCTTCTTGTCCCCATTGCTCTTCCTCCCACACACCAGGCTCAACCCAGCCTCCAGGCTTTGCACAGGCTGAGTCCTCCCCCGCTGATTGCCTGTCCCCCAGTCACCTTTCTTGGGGGGGGGGGGGGGGAGCCCTCCCTAACTCTGTCCTCCTCTATTTTTCTTCGTAACAGTTAACCACCATCAGACTTACTATATGGGGCCTTCTAAGTTCATGTCTTTCCCACCCAAACTTCAGCCCAGGAGCCCATGTCAATGTTTATCTGTCACTGTACTGCCCCAGTGTCTACTGCCCGGCCCACAGCATGTTCTTGATAAATGTCTGCTGAAGCAGCCAATGGGCAACTGCCCCATGGGACCCTCCAGCTGGCCCTCCTGACAATCACACTTGCACTTACGGGTGGTCACCCTTAGCCAAACACTTAACATGGCCATTTAACATGGGTTAACGCATTTCACTCCCCTACAGTCCCACTAGCCAAGATTCGGCAAACTACAGCTGTGGGTCAAATCTAGCCCACAGCCTGTTTTTGTAAACAACGGTTTATTGGGACACAGTCACATCAATCCAGACATGTTGCTAGTGGCAAGTTTTCTCGCTGTAACAGCAGAGTCCAAAGCTGACAGTACAAGGTGTGATCAACAAATATGTTGCATGTTTAAATAAGAAAAAATTTATTACAGTAAGACATATTGCCATTAATCACCCTCAAAATACTCCCCCTCGCTTTGAACACACCTGTCCCATCGTTCTTGCCACTTTCTGACTTTGGGGAAGAGCCGGAAGTTGCACGGTACCAGATCCAGTGCATAAGGTAGATGAGGACACACTGTAATGTTTTTATTTGACAGAAATTGCCGTATACCACAAGAAATGTGTGACACAGAGCCTTTCCATTGTGATAAAAAAATACAGTGAATGCTGCTGCCCAATGCCATCCAATAAAAAGGCAGGGATCTTCAATATAGGAAGTGGTACAATGAACCTTAGTAACAGTGTGTCACAAGTTTCAACTTTTCAGTGCAGTTGGATGTGAGTCGGGTTGAGAGGTGTGTTTTAAAGTGTGCTGTAAATCATCCTCCATCACAACACTCCGTGTCATACATTGCTTCTGATATACGGCAATTTCTGTCAAAAACATCATGGTGTGTCCTCATCCACCTTATTCACCGGATCTGGGACCATGAGACTTCTGGCTCTTCTCCAAAGTCAAAATGATTCAGAACATCGAGGCAACCATGACAGCGCAACTATTATAAAGACACTCATCAAAGAGGACTTCCAGAACTGCTTCAGGAAGTGGCAAGAACGATGGGATAAGTATGTTCGAAGTGAGGGGGATTAGTGGCAATGTGTCTTTTGATGTAATACATTTTATTTAAACATTCACCATATTGTTTGTTCACACCTCATACTTGCTACCTGGCCTTTACAGAAACATCAGTCCTGCTGTCAGCTGTGATATGGGGGTGGCTCCTTGCCCCATGAGGAACCTGAGGTGCCTTGGCCATACTGTAAGCTTCACAAGCAGAGTTGGGGAGCATAGCAGTTAAATGTGCTGGCTACTGGGTGAGTCTGTGTGGCTAGTTGACCCCGTCTCACTCTCCTCATCAGATAAACAGGCCCAGTTTACTAGTTCCTAGTTCCACACAGTTTACTAGTTACTAGTTCCACAGTGATACATGCGTAGTGAGGCGTAGGGCGGGCTGATGGTCAGGCCAGGGATCCCATGGAAGAAGGAGCTGATATCAGGCCTCACATGCATCTTTTCTGGGAGATCAGCTCCATTGTTAGGGAAGATTCACACTGAAGCTCCACTCTTATCTCATGTGTGACCTGGGCCTGTCACCTTACCTTTCTATAGGTGAGCATGCAGTGGGAGCCCAGCAAACCCTGGCCAGTATGCAACGGGAGCCCAGTGAACGCTCGCCAGCATGAAGTAGAAGCCCAATAAGTGCCGGCCAGCACAGAGCGGGAGCCCAGTGAACGCAGGGCAGCATGAGGCAGGAGCTCGATAAACACTGGCCACTCAGGTCACGACTGCTGCCCAGCACGGGGCTTGTGGATGGATGTGCTGACCCGGTAAGTTGTGTGGGCCAAACCTGTCACAGAGGAAACCGGGGCCCTCAGGTGAGAGGGAGGTAGTCTGGGGTCTCTGTCCTAGCTGGGACTCAGTCCCCGCCTATCTGGCTGTAAACTGTCTTCCCACATATTGGGCCTTTGGATGTGCTGGGACTTCTGGGTGTGGATATCATGGGAGTGCTGAGGGTGCAGCCTCCGCTAGGCCAGCATTGGCTGCCATGATTAGGGCATACTACATAACCCTCAGTGGGAGATTTTATTCCTAACTCCTTTCACCAGAAAGGCGCTAAAGAGACCCGCTGTGAATAAATGACCGTCGTGAGTGTCCTGTCAGCTACCCATTACAGCATAACAAGTTACCCCAAATCCTGTGGCCTAAAACGACATTTACTATGTTGGGGTTTCTGTGTGCCTGTGATCTCTCCTGAGGTTGAGGTCAGGATGTTGGCCGGAGGTGTCCCATGTGATGCCTGGGACATGAGGCCTCGGCTCCTTACCCTGGGGTGTCCCCGCCGGGTGGCCTGAGCACCCCCACACATGGCAGCTGTTCCAAGAGCATGGGACCGAGGCAGGAGCAGAAGTCACTCTCTGTCTGGTCTGCGACATCCTGTGGATGTGGGAGGCAAGTACATGCAGATACCAGGAGGTGAGGGTCTCTGGGGTGCTCCAAAAGGATGGCCTCCACTGTGCTGTCCAACTCTCTCTTCCCTGTGACTGAGGCCTGCGACTTGCTTCAGCCACTGAAACGTGAGTGTGAGTGACCCATAGTCAGCACTTAATGGCATTCTCAGCCAACCAGCACCCCCTATGGTCCACGCCCTGGCCCCGTGGTATGAGAGGCAAAGCTGATTCATGTTACAGCCACTGAGATTTTGGGTGTCTGTTCCTGTGGTGGGACTTAGCTCACCCTGACCAGTGCATCCAGCTCTGGGCCCAAAGCCTCTCACCCAGGAACCTGGTGGACACAAAAGGGACACTCGTTGGCCACCCCTGCAAGCATTCACTGAGCACAGGTGGCCCTGCCCCGCGTTCATGTCCCAGTCCCTGCACCTTAGCAACCGCATGAGGACCAGAAGGCCAATTTTGTGCCAAGGGCTTAAGGCTGTGCCCCACGTGAGCTTATCATTATCATGACCAGGGCTGCGATTTGGCTGGGCTGTCCAGACACTGTCTATCTTACACCCCTGACCTTGTCAGGCAGGAACAGCAAAGGGTAATTACAGCCCAGTGAGATCACAGTTGTGAAGGGGAACTGGGAAAGCAGCCCAGAAGAAGGCAAGATCACCCAACTCATATCTGCCCCTCCTGGGGGCTCCCCAGACCATTCCTGGCCACAAGGTGTACCCACACCATCTACTGAATGGGGGTGGGGCAGGCAGTCAGCTCTGGATGTGGCAGATCCACGATGGGGAGCCTTAGCTGCCCTATCTGTGAGATGGGACTGGACACTTACTGAGGGCTCCCGCATATCAGCTCCTACACAAAGCAGTTTGTGAAGCATTGAGAATTTGTCAAAACAGAAAAAGAGTGTTTATGGGATGTCTCCAGAAAGAGACAGTTTTCACTTTAGATCAGCGGTTCTCACTGGGGGCTATTCTGCCCATAGTGGACACTGGCCAATATCTGGGGACATCTGTGGTTGTCACACTGGGGGTGCTCCTGGCATCAGGGGAATGGGGGCCAGGGATACTGCTCATCTCCCCCACCCCCCTTGTGCCCAGGATGGCCCGCTAGAGGTGATCTGAACAGGGGAGCCTAGCCTAAAGCCACTGGTGCCTTCTGCATGTCTTCCAGTGTCACGGGAACCTGCAGGGGACAGCATTACAGCATTGTGGCTTAGGAGGATGCCTTGGGGCCACACTGCCTGGGTCTGACTTTGATTCTGCCCTTCATGGCCATGCAGCCCTCAGCAAGTTCCCAGACAATTCCTGAGGCCTTGAGGCTGGCAGGGAGGTGGTTGGGACAAGGCTGCCACCATTACCATTCCTAGATGCCAGCACTTCTGACATCTTGAGATGCTGGCACAGGGGTTTTGGCTGACTTCTTCCCAGATCTCCCATGGTGATAATGCCCCAGGACAGCCCGGCCAACCCCTCAGCATCAGGGCAAAGCACCTGTCTCCCACACCTGGCCAGGCTTTTTCTGCTCCTGACCTACTGGGCGTGGGTAAGGGGCTCCTGACTGTGGCTCCATTCCTGGGGGAACCAGGTGAGCCTGCCTAGGTCCCGCCAGCACCTGTTGCTCCCCCTGCTCACTGCTCATCTCTGTGCCCCTGCTGCTCCCAACTGTCTCTAGTAATGGCCCCAATGTCCCTGCAATGCAGTGACTAGTGTCCCTACAAAATGCATGTCCATCTGGTACCCATGAGGCTGACCTTATTTGGAAATAAGGTCTTTGAGACATAATTAGTTCAGGATCTGGAAATGAGATGAAGTGGCTCTAAATTCAATGACAGTGTCTTAGAAAAGAGAAGACAGAGACACAGAAGAGACAGCTGTGTGACAAACCAGAGGCTGGAGTGATGATTCCACAAGTCCAGGGACACCAAGGACTGCCAGTTTCACCAGGAGCTGGGACAGGGAGGGAGGACCCTCCCCTAGAACCTCTGGAGGGAGCATAGCCCTGCGAGACCTAAATTTCAGATTTGTGGCATCCAGAACATTTCTATTGTTTTAAACCACGAAGTTTCTGGTGATTTGTTACAGCAGCCGCAGGAAACCAGTAGTTTCCTGTTGACCCTAAATCCAACAGTTTCTCAACCCGCATCTACTAGGCCACTGGACACAGGGCTGCTGCCAGCCCACAAGGTGCCTTTGTGTGATTTAGGAAAAAACTCTGCAAAAAGCCTTCATATAAATATCTTTGTCTGTGATGTCTATGGTGTGAGTGGCTTGTGCAGTGCTTGACCTGAACAACTGTACATGTGGCTCTGCCACCGACTACTTTTCCTCGTTGGCAGATGTCCTGGGATGCCACCCTCTTCTGGTTCCCTCCTTCACGTCTCTTTTGTGGGTTCTCCCATGCAGGGGCTCCTCAGAGTTGTGTCCTGGGCTCTTCTCAGCTCTTGGGAGGCCTTCATAACCCCTCCCTGTTGACAAACGCCTGTCCCTGTCACAAATTTCAGTTGAAGACCTGCCTGTCTACTTTCTTGCTGGTTGTCCCAACCCCCTGACTTAAAAATCCTCAAGCAACTCGGAACTTCCGCCATACCAGTGGACATCTCCCATCTCAGTGGACAGCCCTATGGACACCTGGCACTATCTTGTGCACACCCCTTCCACCCTGGCCCCAGCAAACCCATCAGCTCAACTTCAGAGAATGTCCCAAGCCCGTGTGTCCCACCAACTTGCTCCTCTTCCCAGGTGCCCACTTCAGGGTGACCCCGGCCCTCAGACACCCCACACTCCCTTTGCTCCTGTGGTAGAGATGTAGATGCCCCGCTCAGATGCACACCCTTCACACCCTCTCACTGCCAAGCTCCCGCCCCAGCATCTCTGCTTTTCTTCTTGCAGCCTGCACCCGACTCTCTTGGGAGGGGTGCCCAGAAGCACCTGGGAATACTCTAAGTAAGAATCAGGCTGAAATGCCTCCTTGCTTAGCTTCCCCTCCCCCTTTCTGGGGTCCCCTGGGAGCGTCCCCTTATAAAATCACCCCCCACATGAATGCTTGCCTCAGGCTCTACTTATGGGGACTCCTCACCCCCACCCCAGCCCACCCCCATCCACTTAGTGACTTCATCTGGTTGATGCTGCTTCTCCCCAATCCACCTGACGCAAACCATGGGGTCAACACATTCCTCAACGGCCTTCCAAGGGCTCAGGACTTTGGGAAAAGGGGGACGCGTGGGGAGTAGGCAGAGGCCATTCCCTGCACCCCACCATGCTTCAGCCATGGGAAGGCTGTGGGTCCCATACTGCACCTGCGGCCTCGTGCCTGTAACACCTTTCCCTGTGTGTCATGCTAGGTTCTTCCTGGACATCCCTCCTGCATACTAAGAACCTCCCTCTAGGGCAGGGGCCTTGGGTTGCTCTGTCTCCATGGCCCAGCCCTGTAAATACTCATTTTCTGGCTGAATGGACGGGGATGCTACGACGCTCAAAACGAGGCAGTTAGGAGGGACCTGCATCAGAGGACTTGCTCCTTGGCGCAGTCCTTTCTGGGCTGTATGATTTTCAAAAGTTGGGTGGGCTGCAAGGGGAAATTTAGTACCTGTAAAAAGGTGTCATAAAAGACGGAGCCAACAGGACTATCGACGCCAGTGCACGGCACGCTGGCCACAGCCAGGTTACGCTGGGGACCTCCAGCCCATTTCGATCCGGGTCCACCCAGCCCCAGGGAAGCACTGCGGCCTACAGTTCCCAGCATGCCCCGCGCTCCGGCGCCGAAGGCGAGGAGCCCCGCAGAGCACGCTAGGAATTGAAGTCCGGCCGCGGCCCCTACCCTCCCAGGCCCGGCCCAGCCCCGCACCTCTGGGAGTAGTGAGCGAGGCGAAGGTGCCACAGCGCGCGGCCCAAGCGTTGTTGCTGCAGCAGGAGTTGGCCCGGGGGCTCCCCGGCGCCGCCGTTTGCAGGCGAGCGTAGGCCCATGTTCTCGAAGTAGTGCGCCAAGAAGGAGATCGGCTCCTCGGGCCGCGCCTCCAGCACCTTCAGCAAGGCCGCGCGCAGCATGTCCGTCACGCCGACCTGCCGCAGGAAGTCCTCCTCGCTCTCGGTCGTTGCTGCCGCCCGGGACACCGACGGCCGAGTTCCGTCGGTGAAATTGGCCGCGGTGACCACCACCGACCGCCGCTTCTCCACTGCCGCCATCTTCACTGAGGGCAGCGGGACCGGAATCGCCGCCATATTCTACAGTGCGCTGGCGCCTCTGAACGGCCATCTTGGTTAAGGGCATACAACGCCGGATCCCGCTGGGAGACACTGGGAAATAACAGTACCGGCCACCCTTTTCTCTAGGTTCTAATTGGTACTCTCCCTCCAGTTTCCTCTTTATGTGTACTTGGTTTTCTTGGCTTAGGCCCGGAACCTGAACTTTGCCAGACTCCAAAATGGCTTCCAAGCAAGGGCTTGGTTTCTTGCATGAAGCCAAATTGCTGCCATCTTCTTAGTGGGCGAGGCCTCCCTTAGCGTGGTTTTCTAGCAACCAGTTTCCTCGGTTACCAGAGAAGCCGGGGCGCGCGTCGGGTGGATCCACCCAGATTCGAGAACTGAGCACCACCCTTACCCCCTTTTTTCTGATTTTCGTCTTTGAGCCTTTACGCTCAGCCTGTCTTTAAATCTAACCCAATCTTGGTCTGAGTTTATAGCTCACTTTGTAGGGACACCCCTCCTTCCTCCATCCACCCACCAGGCTGCGTTAGGGGTCTTCCCTGGGCCCCCACCGTCCATAGTCCCCTGTGCATGTTCGAGGAATGAGTGGACCACCTATGGTCCGCAGTTCCCGGTTCCAGGCTGTTACCTTTCATCACCACCGGAGAGATTTTCTCACACCTCATCCTCTAGCTCTCTCAACTCGCCCATAGCTCCCCAGTGTCCATAGGCTCAAGTCCCTGGCATCTGCTGATCTCATGTCCAGGCCCTGTCTCGCTCCTCTCTTCTCCTTATTAACACACCACTTCTCTCCTGTGTCCACACTGTCCCACCAAATATATCCTCCACTTCTTTTGAGGACACCCGCTTATTCTTGAAGCTGTGGCATCCCTGCACCCAGGGAAAAGCACAGCATTTGGATTCTTCCGTCCCAGGCAGAGTACACGCTCCCCTCACCCTCTGCCCTGGCTCAGTGGGGCTGGGGTAAATGTCCATTCTATGTCTTTGAGAATCGCCCAGGGCAGAGGATCTTAGGGTCCCATACCACTACAGGAAACACTGAGGTCAGAACAGATGGCTTTTTATTCTCCAGTTGGAGGGTGGCTCCCCCACAACCAGCTCGGGAGCCTGGATGTGCAGGGTCATCAGGATGAAGAGCCCACGGTCAGCCCTCATGCTATCCAGAACCTTGCAAACATCCTCCAGGCACAACTGATTGGAAGGAAAGGCAGGGCATTCCAAGAGGGGCCCATCACACTCAATTTGGTCCAAGCGGGGGAGGGTGCCCAAGGAGCTGGCGGGCCCAGCAGCATTTCCACAGGCGGTAGGTGAGAAACGCCAGGAGGAGCAGCCCCAGCAACAAGCTGCCTGTCCACAGGGCTCCGGATGTTGGGGGGGAGCCTGGAGAGAGAAGCATCAGAAGCCTGAACTCTTTGCAGGTTATGGGGAGAAGCACAGCAGATCCTACTAGGGGCGTCCAAATTAACCTAGTTCCCCCAAATTTTACATGGGACTTCAAGGCTTAGGATGTCTTTTGAAATGTACAAAACCCCTGGAGTATCCAAAGGTCTTTGGAGTGAGTCTTGCGTAAAGTACGTAGGACCTTATCGTTAGAAGTGGGCTGTCCAGTGAGGTGGCCACTCGTCACATCTGTGCTTGAAATGTGGCACCTCATCTGGGTGGAGAGGTTAGCACAAAACACACATTGCAAGAACATAAAGTGTCTCGTTCACACCTTTTTACAGATTGCATGTTGAAATGATATTTGAGATATAATGCATTCAATGAAATATCTAACTTATTTTTACTTTTTTCTCTGAGTGCGGCTACTACACAATTTGAAATGACCTAAATGGTTGTATTCTATTTTTATTCCACAAGCTGTTGTGGTCTATAAAAGGTCAAAGTTTACAAACTGCTGTGAAATCTATGTGGTCCATGAAATTTACAGTCATCGCCATGCCAGGCAACTGTAATCTTACAGTGTCAGAGAAGCCCCTGGATGGTTGGGGAAACTGAGGCTGGACAGGGCACCTCCTTGTCTAAGGTTTTGACTCAAGGCTTCTTTCCCTCCCAGGCTCCCCCAGCACCCTCTCCAGCCTCCCAAACTCACAGATTTCCGGGACCAGGTACAGACTGGCCATCTGACCCCCAGGATCCAGGCGACACTGGAACCAGCCCTCAGGGTTGCATGTAGCCCACAGCACACTCAGCCAAGCCCGGGCACCGGCCTCCCGCCTCTCATAGGCTGCCAGATCACCAGGAGCTTGGGTCCAGCGCACAGCTACACCAGGGCCACAGGCCACCTCACACAGCAGCTCCAGCCCCCCTGGCACTGGCAACTGGTGGATCTCAGGAAGGCAGGGCCCCGTGGAGCTGTTCCCAGGCTTGCCAGGACTCCGAGGGCTGTGGGTGGATCCCTGTTCCAGGGTGGCCTCCAGGGAGGTCGTGACAGGAGGCTCCTGGGAGGTCAGGCTGTGCAAGACTGGAAAAGAGAGCATCCGTTTTTCTCCCTGCTGCCTCAGGCCCCTGCTACTGCCTGTCCTCCATCATGATCACGGGGTTGGACCAGAACTGCTCTGAGCCCCACCCTTGGCCACTTGGGCAAATCGCAGTGTGTCCCAGTAGGTAGGAGTGGGGTCAGGTCCATTGCAACCCCCCAACCCTGAGGAGGCTTCTGAATCTCCACATCTCACTTTCCTCAACTGTAAATGAGGTGACAGCCCCCTACCCAGGCTCACACGTGCTACCAGAACATAGGATCAGTGAACATTGGGTTTTATTATTATGGAGAGAGGGGAGGGTGCATCTGACACAAACCAAGCACCTACTGTGTGCCAGGCCCCTTGTCAAATGTTTTCGTTGTTCATCATCCAGCAAATATTTATTGTGCAGCTGCTATGTGCTGGGCACCATGGTAACAGTTATTCATTCATTCAACATGTACCTATTGAATACCCACTGTGCTCCCAGCACTTTTAGCCACTGGGAACACAGCCATGAATGACACAGACACATTCCTATCTTGGTGAAGCCAAAAGCAGGGAAGACAGATAATGGAAAAAAAAAATGATAACATATAGGATGTCAGATGTTGATAAAAGGTGTCAAGAAACATTCAACAGGGAAAGAGAAGGGTGTGTGTGTGTGTGTGTGTGTGTGTATGTACACACATATGAGGGGGAGGAAGAGGTCAGGGGGAGCCTCACTGGGAAGGTGCAGGTTGAGTGAAGGAGCCATGGAAAGACAGATCCGGGGAAAGAGTATTGGCAATGGAGGGCACAGCATGTGCTAAGGCCCTGGGGCAGGTCTGTGCCTGGTATGGCTGGTGCACAGTGAGCAAGGGGGCGAGAGGGAGGAGGTGAGGGCAGAGAGGGGACGGGGCAGGTCCAGCAGGGCCTTGTGAACGGCAGGGAGGACTTGTGCTCTTACCCCAAGGGAGGTGGGGGCCCTGGAGGGTGGTAAGCAGAGCAGGAACGGGACTTGACTCTGGTACTCACAGGCGCCCTCTGGTGGCTGCTGTGGAGAGGACAGACTTGGGGCCAGGGTGAGAGCCTGGGACCAGGGCAGAGGGCACAGCAGGGATGGGAGCTCATGGGGCCTGGCACAGGGTAAGAGATTAGTAAATCTGTTGAATGAATGAATAAATGAGTGAGAAGCATCACGCTGGCTTCCACCAGGGGGCAGACTAAAGATGGTACTGTGACTGTACAGACCCAGCAGGTGAGAGGCAGAGCCAAGATTCCAGAAGGGCCGTTGGACACCTCTCAAGGCTCATAGGACATGGGTGGCGTGACTTCGCTCACTTCCTGGGGAACACTGAGAAGCAGGCTGGCCAGGACCCCACAGACTCACCTGGAATGGGCTGGCGATGGCTTAGCTGCAAGCCCGGCAGCCTCATGGTCGCCTGGCAGTGGAGGGTGGATGGGGCAGGTGTCCCCAGTGGAGGCAGCAGCCAGCGCTCTGTCACTCTGAACAGCATGTCCTCGCCCTCCTGGGGCTCCTCCTCCTCAGCCCGGCCCAGGGCCTGCACCCCCTCCAGTTCCCAGTCCCCCAGGAGCAGGGACAAAGAGAAGGCATCAGGGTCAGTAGGTGTGACATTGTGGGCTGTGCAGGCCACCTCCTGGTCCAACCCGGCCACCAGGGCCACTGGGGAGACAGTCAGCTGGTCTGGGAAGGCTGTGTAAGGAGGGTTAAAGGGGGGTGGGCTGAGCCCAGAGGGTCAGGACTGGGCCCTGAGGAGAGGGTATGGGGGGAGGAGGGCAAAGGGGAAATGGGAACTGCTGGTGCACAGGGACAGGGAGACCCCGTGGCCACACCCTGTGTGGCTAGAATATAGAATATAAGGTGCTGGAAAGGGGCCCTGAGCGGGGGATGGGGTATGGGAGGTTTAGGGGTGGATTGGGGATAAGGGAGTGAAGGCTGAGAGGCCGGGAGCGGGGATGCCCAAAGGTCGGAACGGATTGCAAAGCGACTCAGGAGCTTGAGCTGGAGTGGGGTGGGCAATCCAGGAAGGCTCTCTCGAAGAGGTGGCATAGGGACAGAGACAAAGCAGGGCTGCTGGGTGGGCCCTGAGTGTGCAAAGGCAGCGAGGGGAGGAGGGACGGGGTCTCACCGAACACCAGGAGCTTCACGGTCTGCTGGAAAGTGAGGTTCCCGCAGGAGCCCACGCATATGCGGGTCCCAGCAGTAGACAGCGAGGCGTTGCGCACGGAGAGGACGCTGCTGCCGGGGCCCGACTGCACTGCGCCCAAGCTGGTGTCCAGGCCCCTCCACTGCACTGAGGCCGCCTTGCGGCCTGCGCAGGATAGACGGCAGGTGAGCTGCATCGACCCGCCCATTGCCACCACCACCACGGGCTCGTGGGGCTCCACCTCCAGAGGCCCACCTGCGGGCAGACAGTGCTCTCAGTCCCGGCCCGCCCCCTCCTCAACCCGGCCCCCAAAGGTCACCCTTTATAGGACCCCCATCACCTTCCTTGAACCTCCCCATAGGGTTCGCCCAGCCCTTCCATCTCCGCCCTCTCTTCCGAGTCCCCTCCCCTCGCGGAGCCCCTGCTCTGCACACCGCGGCCTTGCTGGAGGAGCCCCAGGAAGAGGGGAAGCACGAGGGCGAGGCCCCTCTCCATGCCAGGTCTCCTGCTCTATGCCCCGACCTTAAGGGAGGAGGCTTAAATCGTGGTGCCCCGGCCTCCTTCCTGCAGCCTCGCGACCCCGTTTCTCCGCCCCCACTCCAGCTGCTCCCCAGGGGTTTCCCAAGGGGGTTCCCCCCCCCCGCCCTGACCCCCGACCCTAGAGGCGACAGAGAGGCAGGGGTTGGGGGCCAGAGATTGGGGGCCGGAGCCGAGGTCGCTGGAAAGTCTGGGCCAATTCCAGGTCTCACTTTCACAGACGGGAAGCTAGGAAGATGGGGCCGGAAACGGGTGACCATAGAGGTCCAGTGAATGGACGTCGGAAGGAGGCCCAGGGTCAGCGCCGCCGGCCCGCGCTCTGTAGGCCCGCGCTCTGCCCGAGGTTGGCCTTCACTGTCCCGCGCGGTCGCGCTGGGGCGAAGAGCAGTGGCTTTCCAGCTTCCGGGACTCGTCATCCTGGTCCTGGGTTCCCGGTCCGCCCTCCCCCAACTATTTTAGAAAAACCCTTCTGAGCGCACCGACATCCCCAAGATTGCTTGTGGCACAAAGAAAAAACCCCAGCTCCTCACTAGCAGGAGCCCTGGGGATCGGACAGCCTCAGGGCCTTTACATGGCTGTGCCCTCACCATGTTCAGTCTCTGCCCAAACGTTGCCTCCTCAGAGTCCTCCCCAACCACCTTCGACCGTCTCTTCCTCTATTTAACTTTCTCCCTGTGCACTTTCCTTGCAGCCTTATCGGGGTCGAGGTCGAGGTCGTGGTCAGTAGCTGAAGTCACAACTCCCCTGTACTGGGGCCATCTTGTCTGCTGTGACCACCCTGGACTCCATCACAGCAGGCACACAGGAGGAAAAGAATGGAGGCGTCCTGGTCTGCCCACGGCCAACCTCAGGACATAGTCCTTGCCTTGAGCAGCCAGGCGATGGGGTTTCTAACATCCCTGCTAAGACCCAAGAGGAGGCGCTGGGAGCAGAGGGGGGAAACTGAGGCTCGAAGGGGTGGGAGCAGAAAAAAGTGAGGCGTGGCAAGGCCAGGGTCCTGGAGTGTGAACTTAGTCTGTCTTTCTTGGCTCCACCCTCCCCTTCGCAGTGCCGGGAAAGGCCACACAGGAAAGTGGACTCCAAGTTTCAGCCTCCCCAGGCCGGAGGTGTGGGCCCTCCTCGGGAAGCTGGGCCCTTAACCTGGGCGGGGGGCAGCAGGCCTGCTGAATGAGCCTCTTCCCAGCCCCTGACAGGCTTCCTGCTGCCCTAGAAGCTGAGGCTCCTTGCAGGGCGTGACCCAGCTCTCTTGGCCTGCCTCCCCCACTGCCGCCCATCCCACTTCCACGCTCCCAGATCTGAGCTCTACCCAGGGTAAGCCCTCACATCCGCACAACACTGTAAGAAGCAGCGCGTGATCTGGAGGTGGGGAGTGGGGGGTCAGTGACGGCCATTCTGAGTACAGGTAGGCTGAATATACGAACAAGGTTCTGGATAGACGTGGAGCCTGGGGAGGATGGGGTAGAGGGCTGGAGAGAGAGAAACAGAGAGGGAGAGTCAGAGAGAGAGAGACAGAGGAAAGGGGGAGAAGAGAGGGAGGAGCAGGGGCCTGTAGGGAGGGTCTGGGTGGACCTTGGGGAGGGGCAGAGGGTCCCCTGGGAGTCCAAGGCCAGCACAGGGGTGGGGACGGGGGACAGGACTGAACTGATTTCCCACCTGCACCTGGGAAATGTAGCCTTGTCCCTGGGAGACTGAGCCCATGGGAAACCCCAGGTGGGCAGCTAAGGTTCCTGCTCTACCCACCCCCTGGACTTCCTGCACAGCCCGCCCTCAGAGTCCCCTTCCTGGCATTGTCTCCACCCAGGAGGAAGTCCTCAGTAGCCTTGGCAGGAAGACTTCTTCCCACAGAGGGGCCCAGCCCCGCCTCGAAGACTCGAGATTCTGGCCTCCAGGTTCATCTTCCCATTGACAGCACTAGCACTCTGCAGGGAACTTGGGCCAAGGAGGGTGTCCAGGAGAGGGAGCCCCAGGAGAAGCTCATACTCTCCAGGGACACCCTTCCCATCCTGGCTGGACAAGCTTCCCTCACTTGCACCACTGGTCAGTTGGGTGCATCATGGCTCTTTCTTTGGGATGGCATGGGTCATTTAGGACCCCCGTCAGGTTCCCCCATCAAGTTCTGGAGCTGGAGGACCCCAGATCCTGCCCCATTTTGGTGGGTCTCAGGGACAGTGGGAGGCTGTGTGTGGTCGTTTAATAACCACTCAGAAGGCTCTAGAGTGGGAAGGGCTGTTTCAGTCCATCAGGCCTTTGATCCCCTGCTGGCGCCTAAAATTGCATGGCTGAGCTAGGCTGAGGAAGCATGGCAGGAGGGGTGACACCCAGCACACCAAGCCGGTGGGGGCCAGGACCCTGAATAACCAGCACAGAATGCCTGTGAAAACAATGTTGCTTGATGACTGTCTGCGAAGCTGAACCCAAGTTTGGCAAAATAGGTGGTGGCAGGTAGCCATCACAGGGCTGTCAGAGCCAGGGTCTGTATGCTGCCTGGGTTGAGGGGGTGTCTGCAGGCCTGAGATTTAGGTCATTAGGAGTAACAAGGGTAGTGGAGGCTTTGAGCAGTGAGGTCTGGATTCAGATGATTAGATGGAAGGCTCCGAAGCTGGGCCTGTCCTCTCTGGGGCAGAGGGCTCAGGCTGGCAACCCTGGGGGTGCTGGATACATGAGGGTGGGGAGCCTTGAGGGTGCCCAGGCCCCTCACCTGCACCCAGGGCAGGGAGGCACGTCTTGGTGAGAGCTGATTTGGGAGTGCTGGCTCCACTATTCTGTGGTGGGGCTGGGACCCCTAGAAGCCTGACCCCTGACCTCAGACCCTATGTCTACCTCAGGCTATGCTGTTCTTCCACAGCAGCTCCCTGGGAGGCAGCTCAGGCACCCATAGCTGAGCTTCTTGTGGGTGCCAGGCTGCAGAGCCAGGTGGCTGTGCTGAGGGATGAGAGGAGCTTGAGGAGTTCAGAGTGGGTGGAGGGAGAGGGGCCGGATACTGGCCCATGGTGGAGACTAGGTGTTGATGATTCATTCAAATAGTTCAGAAGGCTTTGCTGGTGGGTACCACAGCAAGCACTGGGCCTGCTATATGCAATTTCCAAGCCTGGCTGCAACCCCAGGAGGGCCCAGCCAGGGATATGACACCACAAACAGGCTAGGTCACAGCTGCCAGTCACTCTCGGCTACTGACCACCTGAAATGTAATTTTTTTAAAAAAAGATTTTATTGGGGAATTGGGGGAGGGGAACAGCGCTGGGGATTCGGGGAAGGGGAACAGACAAGTTGCTGTCCTTTTGTTTTTTTTAGATTTTTTTTTAAATTGGGGAATTGGGGGATGGGAACAGTGCTGGGGAATTGGGGGAAGGGGAACAGACAAGTTGCTTGTCGTTTTGTTCTTCAGTCTAGTTGTGGAGGACCTTGCTTCACTGGCCCAAGTTGGCACCATCATTGCGCTCTTCCCGGGCGAGGCAGATCAGTCGCCGGCTTCTGGACGGCCGCTCACGGCGGCTGCTGGCCGCTCACGCTGGCTGCTGGCTACACACGGTAGCCCATGGCAACCCACTGCAGCAGGGGCTGCAGCCTACGCCGTCGCCGGCGACTCATGGCAGCCCAGCTCCAGGTTGAGCTGTTGTTCAGCATCTTAGCTGTAGAGGGCAGTGTCACTGGCCCTCATATGTGGGATCCGAACCGGGGCCCTCTGGCGTCCCAAGTCAGTTCTTAACCATCGCGCCACTCGGCCGGCCCAAGTTGCTGTCCTTTTGTTTTTCAGTTTAGTTATGGAGGGTGTTGCTTCACTGGCCCATGTTGGTATTATCATTACGCTCTTCCTGGGTGAGATAGTCGCTCGCCGGTCATTGGACAGCCGTTCACTGTGGCTCATGAAAGCTCACGCCCGCTGCCGGCCAGCCCCACTGCAGCCTACGCCATTGCCGGCAACTCATGGCAGCCCAGCTCCAGGTCGAGCTATTGTTCATCATCTTAGCTGTAGAGGGCGCAGTGTCACTGGTCGTCATGGGGGATCCGAACTGGGGCCCTGCTGCTCAGAGCTGGCATCCCAAGCCAACTCCTAAAACCAATGCACCACTCAGTCGGCCCTGAAATGTAATTTTTAAACTTCATTTTTTTTTTTTTAAGATTTTATTCGGGAATTAGGGAAAGGGGAACAGACAAGTTGCTGTCCTTTTGTTCTTCAGTCTAGTTGTGGAGGATGTCACTTCACTGGCCCATGTTGGTATTATGATCATTGCACTCTTCCCAGGTGAGGCAATTGGTCACCAGCCATTGGACGGCCACTCACTGTGGCTTACAGCAGCTCACGCCAGTTGCCACTGCTCACGCTGGCTGCCGACCACTCACAGTAGCTTACTGCAGCCCACTGCAGCCCCACTGCAGCCTAGGCCATTGCCGACGACTCATGGCAACCCAGCTCCAGGTCAAGCTGTTGTTAACCATCTTAGCTGTAGAGGGCGCAGCATCACTGGCCCCTAGGGATCCGAACTGATGGCCCCGCTGCTCAGAGCTCGCGCTCCCAAGCCAACTCTTTTTTTTTTAATTTTTTTATTTTTTAGCTGAGCCATCCTACCAGCTGTTGGTAGTTCAGTGGCAGCTCAGCTCGTGCTGGGAATCGAACCGCTGTTGCTCAGAGCTCAAACTCTTGAGCGAGCTCTTAACCAACGAGCCACTGGGCTGGCCTAAACTTCAATTTAAAAACAGACACTCAACTCAGTTATTGGAAAACTTCAGGGGGTGGAACATCATCTTCAATGGAAAGTGAAAGTGCCCTCCACCAAGATAGATGTGAAGCTGGCTGATATACACAGTGCCTGCCCAGCTCAGTTCATTTCTGTGCAAATGAAGACTCCAAATCCTCACAGTTTGATTGGTCCAAAAGACCACTTTTCTGATTGGTTGGAATGAAACCCCTTCGTTTGGTCAATAAAGATGTAAATGACACAGCTGCACAGCTCTGGTTGGACAAGAAAGTCTAAGTCCTATTGGTTGAGTTTCCATCCTAGGAGCTCTCTTATAAGGATTGACTCAGGCCTCAGGAGCACAGCACAGGAGGCTGGCAGCCTAGTCTGTGGAATTTCTCTAACATGCAAACATGCAGCTTTGATGAGAGGCCCTGGCAAACAATGGCTGTTCTGACTCTGGTTAACTCTGGTTATGAATCTGGGCCCAGTTAACCACATAGAGTTCTTCTTGGCAGGTATTCTTCTCAAGGTCAACATTGGTTAAATACAGTACATTTTACATTTTATAAAACTCATTTTATTTTATGTATGCCATCCATTCTTTTTGCTTTTCCATGTGGCTGCTGGAGAATTTAAGTGAAGTGTTCAGCCCAACTTCAACTTCTGGCAGATTGGAGCTCCATCTGGGGCACAGGATGGAAATATTCTTTGGTCTAGTGGTAAGCTCCCTTCTCCCCCTCATCCCAGGCTGAGACCTGGGAACACCAGTTGTTTTAGGGGGTTGGGGCAGTGGTTCTCACCTGGTGGTGATTCTGCTCCTTTGCCTGATGACATCTAGGTACTCCTATGGCATCAAGTGGGTGGGGACCAGGGATGCTGCTCACCACCCCACAGTGCGCAGAGACGTCAAGCCCCAATGCCGGCAGTGCTGGTAATGTCAGAGGTTGGGAAACCCTGGGTGGGAGAGCGTCCACTGGTGGAGGGCTTAAGAGAATCAGATGTGCCTGACTGTAGCAGAGGAGTTGGGGGTTATGGTCAGCGCCCAGACCAGGCTCCCTCAGGGAAGTTCTCTGCCCAAGGAGCTTCTTTCAGGCGCAGGGTCTGCACCTGCGACACAAGTGAGGCCAGGGGACTTGGGCAGGATTGAGGTGATGAGGTGGGGCCAATCTCAGAGCCCATCAAGGTGGAGTTGGCGGCGGTTCTGCAGGGAGGGTATGGAACTAGGGTTGCAGGGCTGTGCCTGGCTGTCTGGATAGCGGTCTTGTGTGGACCAGGTTGGATTTGAGAGTCGTGTGTGGGAAATGGGGCCAGGGTTCAGCTTCCGAGGCTGGGAGTCCCAGGGGTACAGATGAGCTGTGGGTGCCCCGATCGTGCGGGGCGGGCGTTCCAAATCAGTCGTGCGCTCTGGGTTTGGGTCCGGCTTGCGGTCAGGGGCGGGGCCCCAGGTGGGCTGGTGCTGATGGTCAGCGTGTGGCCGGCACTGAGGGTCCGAGGTCAGGCTGGCGCTCGGGTACTCACAGCACCGTCATCCTTGGGGACGATCTCCTTGGCCAGCAGGACGCTGCGGTTCATCTGCTTCTTCTCGCTGATCATGGTGCCTCGGCCGCCGCACCCAGCTCAGTTTGACCCTGTTGGGCGCTCGCATCCTGCAGCCCGGCGCTGAGGGAACTCTCGGGATCCGGCTGCGACTCCGGCTGACGTCAGCAACTCCAGGACCAGGCCGGTCGCTGCGCGCCCACCGGCTCCGCCCACAAGTCCAGCAGCCCCGGCGCCTGCCCCGTGCCGGACTCCAACTCCCAGCATGCCGCGGGTTCCGGGGGTCTGCGGCCCAGGGCTGTGTTTCCCTCAAGGCCATGCGCATCTCAGGGCGTCTCTAGTCCCGAGTCCCTAACTCGCCTGTCGGAAAGTCGCGTCCCTGAGGGACCTGACTCTGCAGTTCGGGGAACGGGTGTGAGGAGCTGCGCGTACCGGGTGCCCCCCCTTGTATATTAGTGTGAATGACAAGCGATAAGACAAAGAGTTAGCAGGGGCGGGCTTATGAGCTGGCAAGATGGGAGGGGCAAGGAGTTAACAGGAGCAAGCTTGTAAGCTGGCAGGAGCGAGTTTAAACATTAACCGCTAGCCTCTGACTCCCCTGGCTAGCACTGCACCTACAAGCTGACAAGCACCTTACATCCATCATAAATGGGAACGGAACAGTTCCCAATCACAATAACAACCTCCTACAAGCTAACATTCATCATAGATGGGACCATGACCGTTCCCAGGAGAAGACAATTGTAAAGGCAGCCCCCCTACAAGCTGACAAGCACCCTACATCCTGCTAGGAAAAATATAAAACCCCAGCACTCTTCATCGGTGCAGTTGTCCCTCATAGGACTCTGCCCTGGCACAACTAAACTTTTGCCAGTATCTCTCTCTTACCCCTCTGTATCCGCAGCTCTCCCGCTCAGACTGCCCTGGCAAAACTTCTGCCAGTTCCAAAGATAACTCTCGCTCTCCCTTTTTGACTTTCAATAAATCTTTTCTCTGGATACTCTTGTAGAGTCTCATAAATTCTTTTACATTCTGCAAACAGCCAGGGATTAATTCTACACCAAGACAAGAAAGACGTGCTTTTAAAAACCAACTCCCTGTCTCCTAGTTCTCTGGTTGCATTGGGTCATCTAGGACCAGGGACAGGGGCAGGTCACTGGGAAGCCGCGAGACAGCCAGGATGTTCCTGCATCTCCCAACCCACACGGCAGCAGGTGCTCAATAAATAGGTTCTGAATGTAGGCACAAAGGAACATCACTGGGACTGTGGTCCAAGGTCGTAGTGTTTCTGCTCTGTCACCCTCAGGACTTGGATCACAACACCAGGAGCTACTAGGGCATCTCGAGTTGCTAGGGGGCTGGGATCAGGATGACAAGGGCTGTGTTGCTTGGATGAAGTCATATTGCTCAGGCTGCCAGGGTCTTATTGCCTGGCCTAGGGTCAAGGTGCTAGGGAACTGGACTGTTTGATCTAAGGGTGGGAGGATGTGGGAGGATGTTTCTGGGGACTGGCTTAATGGTGCTAGAGAACAGGGGGTGTTGAGGGGTGGTTTTGTCGCGAGAGCTCTGATGTCAGAGTCTGAGCAGTTGCTAGGGATGAGAGTCACTCGTCAACTCAAATATTTATTGAGTGCCTACTGAATTTCCAGCATTGTTCTAGGTGCCAGGGTGATAACAGAGAGCAAGGTGGGCAGACTCCTGCCCCAAGGAGCTTATATTTTAATAGTGGCAGAGAACCAGAGGCCATAAACACTGAGCATAATAAGCAGGTAGCTGTGTGCCTATAAGTGTTAAATGGCTGGCTCTCCAGGGCAAAAAAGCCCTCCTCTGTAGTATGTGCAGATTCCTGTGGTGTAAATGCTCCCACAAGGGCTGATTTCACAAAACTGCAAATTTAACAGTTGGCTTTTACAGACTCCAGCCTACCAATGTGCAACAGGTAAATGTTACACTGCATTAGCTGGTGATAAGGGCTGTGGAACAAAGGAAAAGTAAGACAGAAGGGGGATTGGCAGTGTGGAGCTGGGGTAAGTTATATAATTAAATTAGATGATCAGGGGAAGACTTGTTCAGGTGGAGGGGTTTAAGCAAAGACTTGAAGGAGGTGAAGAGAATTATTGGGCTGTCGGAAAAGTCATGACGTATTTTTCTATGTTTTTCGTCGCAAAAATGCGTCATGACTTTTTTGACAACTCAATAGCAAGCATCTATGCGGGAAAGGGGTACCAGGTAAAGTATGGTGAGTGCAAAGGCTCTGAGGCTGGAGCGTCCTGCCTAGTGTGTTCTAGAAAAGCAAGGGAGCCAGAGGTGTTGCACCAGAGGGATGGAAAAAGCTAGATAGAGGAGAAAGGACCTGGTTGGGTTAGACTTTGTGAGCTCCAGGAGAGGCTGCTGGGACCCCTCTCCAGAACCCCAGTCCTCTGAATATGAGCCTTTCCTTCCTCTGAACCTCAGTGCCCTTATCTATAAAATGGGGACTTGGGTGGACATGCAGCTGGGTACCCAGCAGAACAGAGAGCTGGTCCTATTGCTGCTTGGTTCCATGTAGAGAGCCAGCTCTTTCTGGGGTGGAGGCAAATGGAGAGACAGCCTGGCAGGTTCTCTGTGTTCTTGTCCTTTGGGAAGAACAAGGCTTTCTTGTTAGAGTTCTTGCCAAACAAAGGGGCAGGCGGCCACAGAGGCGCGTGAGTCTGAGTCAGGGGGCTGGCCACTGGACAAAGGACAATTTCAAGTCCCTGGGGAGGTGGAAAGTGACAAATCCTGGCGGCCGCAGGAACAGAGTATGAGCTGACACTGGACTGGGGCAGTGGCCTCTGTGAACACCTGGCTGCCATGGACGGAAAACAACTTGTCACCCAATAAACCCAGCCCGCTGGGGGCACATCCTCACTTTCAGCCCATTGGTTTTAGAAAAAGGTGATGGGAGCTCAGCTCAGCAGTAGCAACAACGAGGATGAGAGCGCACCTTCCCCTCTTTCTTCAACAGGTATTTGTCATGCACCTGCCATGGGCAACTGATACTTTGGGCCCTCAGAACACAAGGGGCATAGCTCCAGTTTCTTCCTGTTGGTGTGCATGTGTGCAGGCATGTGCGTTAGTGTTATGTGGGGAATCACGGGAGAAATGGATAATGAACACTAAAGAACGAAGCAGCCATTCTGACTCCTCCCTCGCTCACACACCTGGCCACAACTCTCCTCTGCCCAAAACCCTTCGTGGCTCCCACCTCACTCAGGTAAAAGGCTATATGGCTAGAAGCTGAGAGGGACCCCTTCCCCAGTCCAGCCTCCAGCGCTGGCCAACACCATCAGTGCAGCCTGGACAGAGGACTCACTCCGTCGCCCTCAGAACTGTGAGATAATAAATGCCTGTGTTGTTTTATGCCACTGCGTTTGGGGGAATTTGTTGGGTGGCATAGACAACCAACAACCCAATCCTGTATGGCTGGCTGCCCACCAGTGTCCACATGCATCTCCCGCCAGAGCCCCAAACTCACAATTCCAAGACTAAATCCTTGATCTACTAAAACCTGTCCTTCTGACATCTTGCACCCACTCCTCACAGAAGCTCCATTCTCCGAGTTCTCAGGCCCAAATCCTGGAAGCGGCTTCAATACCTCTAGTTCCCTCAGCTCCCACATCAAATCTGTCGCAAACCCTGTCGGCTCCAGTTTAAAAATAGACCCAGAACCCACCTGCTTCTTGCTCCCTCCCCGCCCCCCCAACCTGGGTGGAGCCACTATCCTCCCCCTCATCCGCATCCCCCTACTCCCTATTCGCTCTGGACCAGCGCAGTCCCCTCCGCCCTGGTTTCCCCGCGCTGCCCACGGTCTGTTCTTCCCAGCCACCACCAGAGGCCGCCGTTGAGCACCTGAGTCAGGTTTGGCCCTCTGACCCCACGGCCTGTCCTCCCAGAAGCCACCAGAGGGCGCCAAGGAGCACCAAGTCTGCACGTTCCAGCTCTGCCCACCGCCCTCCTTGGCTCCCAGGTACCTCGTCCCTTGGGGTAAAAGTCCAAGTCCTCCCACGCACACAGGACCCTGCTCGACCTGCCCTGTCACCTCTCTGCCCTCATGGCCTCCTTCTCTCCCCTCACTCACTCTGCTCCAGCCACACAGGCTTCCCCGCTGTTCCCTCAACATGCCAGGCACAGACCTGCCCCAGGGTCTTTGCATGTGCTGTACCTTCGGCTTAGAGTGCCCTTTCCCCAGACCTCCCCCTGGCTCCCTCCTCACTTTCTTCAGGTCTCTGCTGGAATGTTACATTCTC